AATCAAACAGAAATATGTTTTGCACTGGTAGAAAGATTATGACACCAGCTAGCCACAATAATCTTGCATTTCTATGAGTTGTATTGAGGACATAGTAAACATTAACATTATCATCAATGACCATGAAATGTGGCACCTCTGTTTTTGGAAAAGCAGCTTCTTTTATAATAAATGGCTGTGACTTCAGCCCACCGCTTGTTCCAGATGGTATGTCCCAAAAGTCAACTAATGTCCAGCAACACCTGTCACCTGAGGGAAGGTTCCTACCGACACAGTCGCTTACCCAAAACACCAGAGTGACACCTACTGGACCAATTCTATCCTACATACAGGCATCTGAAGAACAGTCAAAACTATGTGAAATGGCACAAAATCACTTGTACATTGTCTTGAGCTGAGCAGGGACCTGTCCATTTCCAGAAAAATAAACCATTTAATTGCGATTAATGAATTTCAAAATGTGATATTAATTTGTTAATTTTCATAATCTATTGACAGCCCTAATATTTATATATGTGTGTGTGTGTGTATATATATTAACAAATGGTTAATTAACTCCAGTCTTCCAAAAGTTCATAAATATTTCTTCTTGCATATATACACTCTCACACACACATATACATCAGGAATCAGGAGACATTTATTGCCATAATATGTCAGACATACAAGGAATTTGCGTAACAGCAGACAGCATGACAATGGACGACAAGACAACAGTGCACGAGGAATAAAATAAAAAATAATGCTATGGGTTAGCAGAATAAGGCTATGGGTTAGTTTAAAATAATGGAATAAAAGTTAAAGTTAAAAATATTAAAACATTAAAAAATATATAGTGCACCAGCGAACAGAAAGTTACAAATGAAAGTGACAAGTGAAAAGTGACGTGTGCGGTGTGAAAGAAAGTGACCGGTGGAATGTCAGAGTCAGTCCGTAGGGGACTGGGCTCTGTTGATGAGCCCGACTGCCGACGGGGAGAAACTGTTGGTGTGGCGGGATGTCTTAGACCTGATGGAGCTCAACCTCCTGCCAGATGGAAGGGGCATGACCAGTTTTTTCCGGGGTGAGAGGGATTGGCTACAATATATATATATATATATATATATATATATATATATATATATATATATATCTATATATATATGTGTGTGTGAGAGTGTATATATGCAAGAAGAAATATTCATAAACTTTTGGAAGACTGGAGTTAATTAACCATTTGGCCACAAGAGGGACTATACCTTTAGTGAGCGCTTCCATAAGGAGTAAACAAATACTGAGCACATGTTGGGCTTTTGAACACTTTTTAACTAAAGGTATGGAGAGGTTTTAGATTATTTTTTAAATGATATTTTTTAGGAATTTAATTAATCCATTGTGCAATTTGTGTGGATAGTTGTTCATTCATGTAGTGAATATAATCTTGAAATCAGCATGTGAATTCAAACAGTAATTTTCTGTTTTTCCGTTGGTTCAATTGTGTTTTCTGGTTATCAAATCATTTTTAATCGTATGTTATTGTCTCATTGTCTAACTTAACTTGTTATAATTCATACATCTCCAACCAAATGTAATAATATGTTTGACTCTTTATTGCTTGTTGATTATACCTAAGTATTTGAATTCAATTAATGTGGTACAATGATGTTGTAGAATTGTGTAAAATTAGCTATTAAATTATATGTATATATATATATATCTCATACTTTTTTGTGCCATTGTCGTGGTGATCTAATTAAAGCTGTATTGGACTGTCAATTTGCGCACTATATCACAAATATGTCAATTTTGCTTTACATTACATTAAATGTAATTTAGATGCCGCTTTTATCCAAAGAAACTTATAATAAGTGCATTTCAACGATAAGGATATAGAATCCAGAAGAACAAGAAACAAGAAAGTGCAATTTCATCAAATAAGCCGATTTACAACCTGCTATAGATAAGTGGCATTAAAAGTACAATTTAAGTGCTTCACTTTGTTAGTCTTTTAGTCAAAGTAGAGTCTGAAGAGGTGTGTCTTTGGTTTGCGGCGGAAGATGTGAAGGTCCTGGTGTCATCAGAGAGCTCATTCCACCATTTCGCAGCAAGGACAGCAAAGAGTCGTAATCTAGTCGAGTGTTTTGCTCTCAGTGAGGGAGGGACAAGAAGTTTAGCAGATGCAGAGCGGAGAGTGCGGGTTGGGATGTAGGGTTTGTCCATGTCCTGGATGTAAGCTGGACCCGATCCATTCACAGCATGGTACGTGAGCACCAATGTTTTGAACTGTATGCAGGCAGCCACCGGTAGCCAGTGAAGAGAGCAGAGGAGTGGAGTAGTGTAATAAATTTATGAAGGTTAAAGACCAGTCGAGCTGCTGCATTCTGGATGAGCTGCAGAGGTCGAATGGCGGTAGCAGGGAGACCTGCCAGGAGGGTGTTGCAATAGTCCAGGCGGGAGATGACAAGAGCCTGAATCAGTACCTGCGCTGCCCTCTGAGTGAGAAGGGGACGTGTTCTCCTGATGTTGTAGAGTGTGTATCTAAAGGATTGTGTTGTCGCGGTGATGTTGGGAGTCAGGGAGAGTTGGCTGTCGAGTGTGACGCCGAGGTTCCTAGCAGTTAAAGTGGCCGTTAGCACGAAGTTGCCAAAGTTGACCGTCAGGTCCTGGGTCGGAGAATCTTTTCTGAAGTAGTTCAGTCTTGTCGGGGTGGATTTTCAGATGGTGGGCGGACATCCACTGAGAGATGTCAGTCAGACAGGCAGAGATCCGTGCCGCCGCCTGGGTGTCCGAGTGAGGGAAGGAGAGAATTAGTTGGGCGTCATCGGCATAGCTGTGGTAGGAGAAGCCATGCGAACGAATGAGCCGAGAGAGTTGGTGTAGAGCGAGAAGAGGAGGGGACCCAGGACGGAACCCTGAGGAACTCCAGTAGTAAGAGGACAAGGTTCCGACACAGATCCAAGTTACCCGGTAAGTACGGCTGTTAAGGCAGGATGAGAGAAGGGAGAGAGCAGAGCTGACACCAAGTTCCTGAAGGGAGGAAATAAGGATCTAGTGGTTTACTGTGTTAAATGCAGCAGAGAGGTCCAGAAGGATGAGGACAGAGGAGAGAGAGGCGGCTCTAGCAGTGTGGAGTTGCTCTGAGACAGCAAGGAGAGCAGTATCTGTGGAATGACCTTCCTTGAAGCCTGACTGGTGGGGGTCAAGGAGGTTGTTACAGTGGAGATAGAAGGAGAGTTGGTTAAAGATCGCACGTTCAAGAGTTTTGGACAGAAAGGGAAGAGGAGAGACCGGCCTGCAGTTGTTTTCTTCAGATGGGTTGAGGGTGGGTTTGTTCAGGAGATGGTTAACCCTTGCCTCCTTCAGAGAGTTGGGGAACGAGCCAGATAACATCTTGTTCTCCAGTAGGCGTTGGAGGACCATCCGTACCAGACATGATGCTGGTGCTCCAACAGATCTGCAGAATAGATGAGAATACACACAAATGTACACAAATACAAAGAGGTTGAGAAAATCTCAGAGTACGTTGTTTACCAACGCCTGGAATACTGCAGGGATGTTGATTAATCCAAACAGCATGAACAAATACTCAAAGTGGCTGAGGGGGGTGTTGAATGCCACAAGCGTCTTCCACTTGTCCCCCTCTCAGATGCGCACCAGGTGATACGAGTTGTGGAGAAGATTGTGGCTCTAGCCAGCGGTTCGAAGGCTGAGTTAATCAGCGGCTGGGGATATTTGTTTCGGGCGGTTATGCTGTTCAAACCTCGATTGTCAATGCAGGACCAGAAGCTCTTGTCCTTCTTAGCAACAAAGAAGGATCCGAATGGTGACGACGACAGGCAAATTATTCCAGCTTTCAAAGACTAAGAGATGTATTTGTCCATGGACGCCTTTTCTGGACTAGACCGGCTGGAAGGGAACGAGGCGTTGGGGTGGAGGTCAATGGCAGTCGTAGGGGCGGTGAGGTGACAAGGAGAGAGTTTTGCAAAACACCTCCCCAATGGGTGTTAGGTGGTGGGAATGGAGGCAAAATCAGGCAGCGGCACGAGGTTACACTGCGGACTTCCTCCAGGTGGTAGTGCAGACCTTAGGCAGCTAGCATGACAGTAGGAGCTCCAAGCCACAATGCTCCCTGCCGCCAGTCAATCTGGGGGTTATGGGTGGTGAGCCACGGGTCGCCCAGAACTAGCGGGTTTTGGGGTGAAGGAAACACAAAAAACTGAAGTCTCTCTGTGTGGCTCCTGGACAGGATAAACTGAAGCAGAAGCTGTGTCCGTCAATATCCCACATCTGAGGAATTTCTCCAAGCTCAACTTTAATTTAAAAAAGCGTACAAGTATTAAATCAGACATTTTTACCAAAATGAACTTCCCTAAACTGAAAAACAATGTTAAAATCAAAACCACAAACAAGGTAATGAATACAGTGAGAAGTAGGGCCATTGCCTCATAGACCTGTATAATCAGACTTTTTTTGTCGGCCCCTGATGGCCATTGGACAGAGGGCAGGTTTGTCTGTTACGGGTTGTGTTGTTGTGCTCTCTCTTTTCCCCCCAGTGTCTACTCGGGTGCCTCCCTCTTCGCTACGCTACCAGCTGCAGTGGATGAGTGAGGGCAGCTTGATGCCACATGGGTACAAGAGGCAGTGCGCTGACCTGCTGAAGAACGGTTACAGCAGTTGTAGTATTTGTTGTAGCAATGTTTCTGGTTGTTGTAAAAATCCTGTGTTAAACGCATCTGTTGCCCACTCTCTTTCTTCCTGGGTAGGTTTACATTGTTAATCTCCTCAACCCTTAGACTTTAAGAGGGAAAAACATAGGTTATACTGCATAAGCAATCTGTTAATGACTATCATGTCGTATTAGCATAAAGTTATGTAGATACATTATGTTGACAGTATGATGATATCTGAGCGAGAGTATAGCAAGGACATTAAATGTGGACTGTGTGTGTGTGTGTGTGTGTGTGTGTGTGTCTGTGTGTGTGTGTGTGTGTGTGTGTGTTACCATACACTGATTGACAGGGACAGACTGCTGCAACAGATGAGTCTCAGCCCAGAAACAGTACAAAGGTTATTGCTATTAATACATGTGAAAACACACATACACAAACACAAAATTGGTCTCAAAGCATCAGATTTCAAATCATTGTTAAGATTCAATTTGTGTCACTGGTTCTGTTATCACTGATCAGCTTATTCAACCTCTGACTCTGCTGGCAATGCTGACTAAATGATACAGAAACATTGTGATATCCATATTAAAGCAAAGGAACCAATGCCATTGGTTCAAGCTCTCTGTAACTCTGCCGTCATCTCAGTAGGAGCAATGTGACACCTTCTAGGCCTTGGAGGCATTCAATAGGGCGACAACACGCTCAGTGTGTTGAGAGAGGGTGGTGCGTGAGTGACGGAAAAGAGCGAAGAAGACACAGTTACTGGAGAGATTGTTCGGTCGGTGCAGGTGCTTTCTCCTGTAACCATTGGACATCGCTTGGAGTAACGCAGAGGTATTGCATTTCTGCAGAAGTGACTTGGAGGTGACAAGTTACAATCAAAGCCGGAAAACAGGGAAAGAGACACGTGGGGAAACCAGCTCCACAAGGTCAGATAGGACGAAAGCTCAACTCCCCTTTGGTTGCATTGTTTAGTTTAACTCCTGCGTACCGGAGCTACTGGCTGATACAAGCAGTACCGAGTCAGGAGGAGTGTACCGAATTGAAGAATTTCATGGTGGGTCTGTGGAATGCTAGGGCCCAGCTGTCATTTCATTCATGTTATACAGTAAAGTCTTTGGATGGCGAACCCTAGCAGCTAATGCTTGTGGCCGTCAAGTATTTTTTACTGCACAGATTTGGGGATTTAAGGATTTGGATTTGTAGATGGATCCACTTTCAAGCTTTGACAAATTGATCTTAGTTTCTGCTTACATTGATTGATTGATTTTGACTTAAAATAGAAGAAGTCTGTGGCATAAACTAAGTGCATTATATACAGGATTACAGATTAACCATCTGAAACACTACATGCTAGGCTGAAGTGGAAAATCTACACAAACAAGCCATTGCATACAGAGGCAGCAGCTTTCCACCTTCATACAGCAATAGGTAGGTCGATATCTGGTTAAAGGTTTGGTCCTGGGTCCAGATGTTCCTTAACACAATGCTGGTGGTCCTGACGGACCTGGCGGCTCGGCTCCTGGGTAACACTGCCTTCCGGAAGCACTTCCATCTGTTTCTGTCAGCGGTGGTGATGATCGGCCCGGCGCTGAGCCTCTGGGTCTCCCAACACAGCATCTTTGCCAAGAGAAGCCACTTCCTCTACAGGTGAGCCCAATTTACACTTAACTTCCTCTCGTCTTCTTTGAAACACGGGTGTTATTCTGCCTCTGGAGCCCTGAGCACACCTGGCATTAGAACGTTTTTCAGCGCGAGTCTGGAGTGGCCACTTGTTACAGGTCTCACTTTAGATGTATATATAAATATATACATATAACATGGGTTGTTATTTTGAACCGGAGGCCATTCCTGTACCTAATTGGCTCTAAATGAATAGAGGAAAGAAAAAGCCAAAACAAACTTGTCCAAACTTTGGACTGGTACTGTATATCTATGGACGCCAAAGACACCTCCACCGTGGGGTAGTAGTCGCTGCGCACAGCAAAATGATGCTTGGGAAATGTGTCAGAGGGACAAGCGAATGTAATTGATAAAAGAATCTGGTCATTTTTCTAAACAAAATATTTTCTTTTACGAGTATGAATGCAGTGTGAATTTGTACAGAGCACAACTTCTGCGTCTGCATGTTCTCCCCGTGTCTGCGTGGTGTTCTCTCCGTTTCCTCCAGCTTCCCCCCACAGTCCAAAGACATGGTCTGGGACTGTGTTCTCGTGTAGGACTCGTTCCTCTGGTCTGGGACTGTGTGCTCGTGTAGGACTTGTTCCTCTGGTCAGGGGCTGTGTGCTCGTGATGGACTCGTTCCTCTGGTCAGGGGCTGTGTGCTCGTGTAGGATTTCTTCCTCTGGTCAGGGGCTGTGTGCTCGTCTAGGACTCGTTCCTCTGGTCAGGGGCTGTGTGCTCGTCTAGGACTCGTTCCTCTGGTCAGGGGCTGTGTGCTCGTCTAGGACTCGTTCCTCTGGTCAGGGGCTGTGTGCTCGTCTAGGACTCGTTCCTCTGGTCAGGGGCTGTGTGCTCGTCTAGGACTCGTTCCTCTGGTCAGGGGCTGTGTGCTCGTCTAGGACTCGTTCCTCTGGTCAGGGGCTGTGTGCTCGTCTAGGACTCGTTCCTCTGGTCAGGGGCTGTGTGCTCGTCTAGGACTCGTTCCTCTGGTCAGGGGCTGTGTGCTCGTGTAGGACTCGTTCCTCTGGTCAGGGGCTGTGTGCTCGTCTAGGACTCGTTCCTCTGGTCAGAGGCTGTGTGCTCGTCTAGGACTCGTTCCTCTGGTCAAGGGCTGTGTGCTCGTCTAGGACTCGTTCCTCTGGTCAGGGGCTGTGTGCTCGTCTAGGACTCGTTCCTCTGGTCAGGGGCTGTGTGCTCGTCTAGGACTCGTTCCTCTGGTCAGGGGCTGTGTGCTCATGTAGGACTCGTTCCTCTGGTCAGGGGCTGTGTGCTTGTGTAGGACTCGTTCCTCTGGTCAGGGGCTGTGTGCTCGTGAAGGACTCGTTGCCAAACAAGAGTGGCGCTAAATGAGTCAAAACAATTTCTCAAATGTCTCAGTTATGTCCTGATTTTTAATGACTGTCATTATCAAATGGTTATCTCATTCATCCCATCACGTCTGGCGTCCTGCAATCCAAAGCACCTCTCTTCTTTCTTCCAGGATGTTCCTGCGATCCGGTTGGGGCTGGACCTGCATCTTTGTTGGCTCATTCGTCTTCCTCCTCTCCTTCTCTGTCCACCGCTCCCTCTCTATCTCCGTCCGTCACCTCTCGCGGCTAGCGGTGGCTGGAGGATTGTGGTTTGGGTTCTGTAACCTCCTGGACCTACTGGAGAACACCACCGGAAGCTGCTATGAGCCTTTAACCGCCGGCTTGGAGGTCGCCAACGGGCAGCCCCTGTTGGTGCTGCGAGAAGGGGAGAGTAAGTCTGGGTGCCTCACAGCTGGGATGCTGTGGAGGGGTTATGAAGTTTCAGAAGACGTCTTCCTCCTCTGCCTCTGCTGCCTGCTGCTGGCTGAGGAAATAGCCGTGTTTGGCCCTTATCTGAGCCTGGGTGGGATCTCAGGTGCCCCTCTAAGGATCCTCTTCCTGTTCTGTGTCCTGCTGCTCTGGCTCTGGCTCTTTCTGCTTCTCTGTCTCTTAGCTTACTTCCCTCAGTTCCCCACTCAGCTAATAGGAGGCGCTTTGGGGTGTCTGAGCTGGCGGGGACTCTACCAGGGCTGGTACCGCCAAGGGCCCAGCTGGTACTCCCCCGGGAGGCCTGGACTGGGACTGCTCAACACCAAGACCAGCAGTAGTGAAGCGCAGGTGGCCCAACGGAGCCATGGTGACTGCAATTAAGGGAAATTTAACAATGACCCAGATGTATAAAACAATGAGCTGTATGTGGTTGTTGGGAGAGGGCCTCTCCTTTTGTGTTTCAGAAGTCTCTGCATACCTCTATGTGTATCAACCATTTTTCCAATGTTTGTGAATGCAGCAGATACATGCCAGTTATCAAAAAGCTCTGCGTTATGAGCCAATGGGCACAGCAATTGGTTTGGATGTCTTTGTGGTTGTTTTGCCCCTTTCTAAAATACTTTTGTGTCTCTTTGAGGTATCTGGACAGCCGTTTTGTCTCTTCGCAGTCTCCTTGTGTCTCTTTTTGGTTATTTTATGTTTCAATGTTGTGGTGTTGGTCTCTTCCTGGTTGGTAAATGAACCTCTGAGCATCTTTTTGTAGATGAATGCCTCTGGGCCCGGCCCAAAGGTGCAATAAGTAATCCATCCATTTGAAGTAAACACAGTCATTCTGGAGAAGGGTTGTCATACAAGCTGGAAATATTTAAGAAACCTACTTCACTAAAACCGCTTGTTTATAATGCTTTAAAAATGACTAACTGAATTGTTTCTTAGGCCACGTGTCATGCTAATTAAAAACAATATCAATCCATTATGAGTCAGTAAGTGGAGAGCTTGTGTGATGAACCACTCTTGTTCTGTGAAGCTTTTAAACAATGGATCAGTAGAATGGTCAACAGATGTTATGTAGGTATTTCTCTATTAGTGTCGTAGTTCACGCTTAATATAATACACTGTGTAAAAGCATCCAAACAAAAAGTGAAGAAGTTTGTTAAGTTTGGTTACATTTTTTCTCTGTTGTTCAGGTGAATCGCCGTGATTTGTCTTCCAGGACTACATGTGGGGATTAAAAATTCCACTTTCACTGGATCTTGCTTCTGTTAGCCTGGTCTGGAGCAGGCTAGCTGCAAAGAATAAATCACCATGGTTACTTGGCTGGGTTTAATTCAACCGTCTTTCGTGTAACCAAGTCAAAGCTAAATTCATCCAGCATAACCTGAATATCCCGGCTCAATCCCTTATCCTGGTTTTGATGATTGACATCGGGCTAACACATATGAGAAGATAGTATGTGTATTTGAATCATGGGAAAACATGAAAAAAAAGCCCTCTGAGGCAAATTTGCGATTTTATGCTATGGAAAATAAAATTAATTGAATCAAATAATCATGGCAAAGACGTTTATTAAGCGCCAAATAAACTGACAGAACTTTACGAAGAGCACGACATGCAGCGGCTTTCCAGATGTTCTCTGTATCGCAACACTGTACAGACATGGACAGTGTGAGAGACACCGCGTGTGAGACAGTATGAGAGAGTGTGCGAGACAGTGTAAGACAGTTTTAGAGACAGTATTAGACAGTGTGAGGGACAGTGGACGCTGGGCTGCAGCGTGTGGTGTTCATCATGTAACCTTACGGCTCCTGATTCCTCTCTTCAGCATCAGCGCTCGTACAGGAAGTGATGTCATAACGGGTCTTTGTGTCCTCTGAAAAGTCTCCCCCCATAAAACGTTAATCTAACTGATATTGCGCCTTCATCAATGAGGAAGAGAGCTGCCCTTTTTTTCCGGGGGAGTGGTGAACTAATCCAGCAGCTCAAATGAACCTGCGTCGGAGCAGGTTCAGGTTTTTGGATGCGTTGCTATGGTGATTTAGACATGCTTGCTTTGGGGAACCCAAAAGCCTGACTCATGTAATCTTATCCTGACAATTATCCGGCTAACTCCGTTAGGCCCCGTTCCTCGTACGTGGCTTGGTTCCATTATATTGGAAAGACTGCAGACATATGAAGGCGATGTCTCAGAAAAAAAGGCCACTGTATTTTTCATTTTGGGGTGAACTGTTGGAAGTCCAGTTGTAATTAACACTAATTGTGCTAACACAGTAGACAGTGAGTGGTTAACACATCAGCCACGAACATTGTAATAGGCATGTTGTGGATCTCTTGTTACATGCTGAGCTAGCATTGCACATGAGATGATGCGCTGCTGGGCTGTGAATATATATATGTACCACGTTGTCTGGTTAGATAAATGGGTTATTTATAGGATAGTTGCTGGTTGTGGTTTTACATCTTTTGTTGCAATGGTTTCTCATGCATTAATAGGATGAGATAGTATTACTGCACAGAAGAACAGAAAATCCCTTTAACTTCTTGGGACACACAACCATGTACCCTGGAACGTGTACCACATGGTTCTGCAGATCCGCCTCCTCGCAGCATCGTGTTTGAAACTCTGGGTTGCTCCTCTCCCAGTACATATATATATATAATATATATAATTTATATAATATATATAAATATAATTACAATTACAATTACAAGGGTATTGACAATTCTAATATATATATAATATATATATATATTAGAATTGTCAATACCCTTGTAATAATGGTAGGGAAACACTGACACGACGTCATGCTAACCAACAGTGCACCCAAAACAAATTTCTACCTACATTTTATTGATAAAATGTCTTCACAAAAAAAATATATACAAAGCATCAGCCATCAAAGAGCAGGAAATAAAAGCTGCCTGGACATCCAAGCAGCGGTTTCAGTGCTCAAAAGCACTCTGAGGTTGCAGCAATCCACCCATTAAACAAGACATTGAGGTGGTTGTCCGGCAATGTTGATAAGTTACATTTGGTATGGATTATTACTGTTGAGCTCAGCGTGATCATCTTTCCATACTCTACATCTTTAACTTCATGTAACAGAAAGAAAGAAAAAAATCCTTCATTAAAAAAAATAAAAATAAGAAAGACATCCCATATAAACTAGGTCAACTTAATGACCCTTAGAGGAGCAGGAACTGCAGGGCAAAGTTTAGTTAAGGCAATGTTTTACCTCTTCTAGCGTCACCATTTAGGAAATGAGTATGTTTCAGTGACATCTTTAAATGGCAAATTGTTGGAGAACTTCAGCACCTCATAGAAAAACTTGAACTCTGGCTCGTACAGTTGCAGTGTGCACTACACTGCATATTGGGCAACCTTTGAATATTACCAACATGGTAAACATTAAAATCACGTGAATAGTTAATCGTACTTTCTGATACATGAAGAGGAACATCTGTGTGTGTGCTGAACTGGCCCATCCACAAGGTGTCCATGGGGGATTACATCACGGGACAGAAGGAGATGCATCAGGAGAGGGAGGGGATGGGGGAGTTAACAGAGTCCAGCGGTTCCCAGTGGCAGCTCATCATGGCGTCGTAGAGCTCCTCGCTCCGCTGCATGAAGTCTTTGTTCCACTGCTCCACGTCACACTCGGGGATGGGTTCTGTAAAACACCACCGAGCTGTCAGAAGCAATAGCAACGTAAATAGTTTTAACACTCGGTGCATTAATAGGCCCCTTTGTGGCCCCGGACCACCCTGAAGATTCACAAGACCCCCTGAGAGGTATTTACTACCATTAGATATGGAATAGACCGAAGGCATGGTGATCAGCATGACCAGTATAACAGAGCAACGAATGACGAATGAATGAGGAGCATGTTTTCACTTCCTGTCCCCTCGTCTCAAGTCAATAAATGATTGATGATTGACGTTTGCGCCATGTGAGGAATGAGACTCCCAAAGGTGTCCATGTCAAACACTTGTTTCTGGAGATCACGGTGGTGCTGTGATGTGTTAAATATCTGGTGTACTTTGTGTTTATTGACTAACCTTAACACTTTACTTCTGCAGACTGCGTTTACGCTTCAAAAACCAGAGAGTTTGCAAGTGGAGACTATATGAACTAAATGTGTAAGTATTCCAACCCGTTTGTTTGCCACAGAGCTCATTTCCAGCAATACTCCGAAATCCGATGGAAGATCCAGTTGGGCTTCATACGAAGGAAACCAGCGTCATACAAATGGGGATGTTTGGGGTTATAAGAAAGCGTCTTACCTTCTGAATTGTCCTCGTCTACCTCAGCTCCCTCGTCTTGATTCTGCTGGAGGAGACATGAAACACTGAGCATTCATTCGGAAACAGGGATGTTTGTATACAACACCCAGTCAAGCAAAGCACAAAACCAAAGAGGCAAACACACCAGTCATAAACAGTGTGAACATCCAGTGTAAGTCGCTTTGGATAAAAGCGTCAGCTAAATGTAATAAACGGTTCCACCGCGTGTGTGTAGCAATATGGCCACTCCCTTTACAGAACGTAGACATGACGGTTATACTGTCATTGAGCTCCACTAGAGGCAGATCAGACAGAGCCTTTGTTTGTAAAAACGCTGCACTCGCCTTCAACACCCTGAAACAATCTCTCTACGCCGCGTAGGCATTGGTCCCATAGTGTCGACTCACCTCCGTAGCACCCGACATGTCAGTGGGAGGCATTCCCATGGGGGGTGGAGGCACCGCGTTGCCTGGTGGGGGGTACCCATAGGGGCCGTAGTTGTAGCCACTGCCGTAGGCGCTGCCATAGCCGCTGTTGTAGCCGCCGTACTGGTCGTAGCCGCCCCACTGAGGGTAGTAAGCCCCCTGACTCCCGTTGCCCTGGTTGCCGTAGTAACTGGACTGGGACTGGTTGTAGTTGCTGTGGTAATTCTGGCCCTGGCCCCCGTGGTAGTTGCTCATCTTCTGGCTGCAACACAAGAAATAAAACAGATTCAAATCAAAGGTTGTGCATCAGGGAGCCAATTGGTGTCAAGTGTATGAGTCTCAATATCTGGAAAACATGCGGATAGAAAACAAGACAAATCTAAAAAACGGAAGGTTTATTCACAGCTGGCTTTGGGGAGCACATTTGAAGCTTCCGTCATGTTCTCTGCTCTGTCTGATGGACACTTCTGGAGTTCAATGAGGTATTAGTGTAGTGCCACTTCACTTCCTCCTCCCTTACTATGTGGATGCATAGAATTAAATGTGTGGAGCAGGTCTAGACATGCAGCCACGATGCATCGCCGCACCTCTTTGCCACAGCGATGCTGAGTCGGAGCGGCTTGCCCCCCAGCATGGTGCCCTGGCACTCCTCGATGGCCTTCTTCTGCTCGCCCTCGTCCCCGAACTTGACGAAGCCATAGCCTCTGCAGGTCAAAGGACAGTTAGGCGTCCTCTCGCACAGACACACTGCATGCTTTGGTATTCACAAGCCACTTATAATGACAAACAGAATATAATGGGTATTATTATGGTAGAACTGAAACTTGTTGTTTTACTTTTAACATGAGGTAGCATCACTTGAATTGTGAGTTGCTCTTGCTTAGCCTATATGGGGAAAACAATAGTTTTAGCATAAAAGACGGCAGGTGAACATTTCTTAAGCCATTTTGTTTTGAATATCAATGCAAGATGAACTGGTGGTCAACGTCCATAGAAGTAATCATTACAGCACAAAAACATTACATAGTGTATTTCTGACAATAATATTCCAACAACGGCTACATTTAACATTTCTGGAGCCACGTGGCTGTCCACCTCTATAGGCTGACGTACCTGGAGTATCCATACTGGTCCGTTACTACTTTGGCTCCCTTGCAGGAAAGGTACTTCTTGAAAACTTGATGCAGTTGGAAGTCGTCCACCTCGGAGGCCAAGTCGCCCACAAACACAGAGAACTCGGGCCTGAGAGAACAACAAACATTGGAAGCATGCAGTTTTCATGACATCACTCTCAATCCTGAGAAGCGATGCTACTTGATCCCACTGACACAGAGATGAGTGTTTCGCGTGTTCTTCGTTCAGAGACACATGTTGGGTGTGTGTGTACCATAAAGGTTCCGTGCCAATCACTCACCCGGCCTCGGGCCGCTTTCCGTAGGTGGCATAGTTTAGCTTAAACTTGCGGGGCTGCACAGGGAGAGACAAAAGACACACACTGAGCCGAACCTCGAACACCAACCACGTGTAGTATAGCACTGATATTGCTGCAAATGGAGAGTGGCGTTATTATGGTTGTTGTTATTTGGGTTTACATACCTCCACCACCCAGACCAGCCTTTAGCCCATTCCTCAGTTAGTTGCTACCAGAGACTCTATTCACCAGCTTCAAACAAAGTACATTTGTGTACAAGCAGCCTCTCAGCAGCAGGGACAGGCCGGTGGACGGCGGAGCCCAGTAGCTTGGCCAGCTCACAGCGCTTCAAATTCAGTAGCAAGCGGCTAAAGCGCACAACTCGACACGGCAAGCTGGCGTGACCTTTTTGTTTTACATCAGCGCACCTTTAACTAGACATGCTATTCCAGCAGCAGAGGGGGAATATAGTTCCTCAAAGTATAATATCAGTTTAAATTTGTGGGGGAAGCCAAATGGTTGTGTTGTGTTAACAGGAACCAGGTGTAATAACAGAGCAAACCTCACACCACATATACTATTGAGTTACTGTTGTAACAAAAAGAGGACCAAGACTAGTGGCGCTCCACTATCCACAGTCCAATCAACAATTAAATACTGCTCGATAACATAACAGTCCAATACTGGGAAAGAAAGGAAGGCAGTATTATATTGTCAATAGTATATGTATATTTGCTGAGAAACAATCATTGTATATATTGCAGTAAGGATTGAATATATATATAGAAATATATGAGGAAGTATTTTGAAATTACAGCATAGAACTGACCGGGTTCGATCCAGGCACCAGTTTCCCGTTGAGCCTCTGGACACAGCGGTCGACGCTGGCTTCGTCTGCCAGCTCCACAAAGCAGTATCCTGCTGAACCTCTGCGCACAAGGACAGAGAGAGAACCGCTTACACAGGCGCCCTCGCATCAACCCCTCCGGTCACGTGTCGCTTACGGTTAACAGGACGTTCCGTAACCACTTGCAGGGCTTCCCTGAACCTACCGGCCACGGTACACCAGTCCTTTGGCTGTGTGGCATGAGCAGCTCAGTATATCCTACCCAGTTATCCGGTGAGTTATGATCTTGACTCCAAAAGGGGATTCTCCCATGGCACTGAAGGCCTGCTTGATGAAGGTCTCGTCCATGTACGGGTCCAACTAAACACACAAGTGAAATTGTACATGCACCATCACGTACACGTTGAGCCAACAACAGATCTTTGTTAATATAAGGTTTTAATACAAAACCATTGGTGTAACGTTAGTTGACGCAACCCGTTCAGTTAATACGTGATCGAGTACAACTATTCGGGTAAAGATTAGATATCACTTTAAAATATGTAGATGAGCCTTTATTACGTATTCGTTGTTATTGTTAGACGTGCGTGGCTAACGTGTAACGGTGGAAAAGGCTCAATGAGAGTAGGCATGCACAATACACTAAATGAAATGAATGAACTCAAAAAGCCGATCCCGAGTAGAGACGTGTTTGATCGGCTGGTTCACGCTCGTACTTTACGGTAATGAAAGCTCTGCTTTTTGTTTTAGTGAACTTTTACTAGGCTTGAAACAAGTCACTTGGTTAGCTAAAGCGGACTTCAGGGTGATGAGCGTAACGTTTCAAGAGTTCTGCGGAACTCGTTTGAGCCCCATTACCGCGAATAGCTGACGCCACTTTAGCATTAACGTAGGTGTTAACGCACTACGAAACGCGCTATATTACGCCAAGTCCCACCAGCCAAGTCGCATGCAGCGGAGTTTAGCCCAACCTTTTGGCTAAGGGGCTAACGTAACCCAACCGCGCTAGCATCCAGCCCGGTAGCTAAGCTAACGCTAACGGCCCCCAGGAGAAGAGACGTGAGACATACATCACCCATCCACAGGCTCGTCTGTCGGTTAAACATGTTGAATCGGAACGGAGGAAACAGTGGAGGTTTTCGTTGGTGTATTTGGGGAGAAAATAAAGGGCCAGAATCGTACAACGCTAAAAGTTCCCCGCACGTTCACGCTAAACAAATCGATTCGTGGTTCCGCTTCCGGTTCAAGGGGATTCCGTCCCACTTCCGGTGTTCAGTCGAGATGTTGGACAGTTCGAGTCCAGCCTCAACCTGTCCTAAAAGTGCCATAGATGATGAATTAACCCGCAGGGTATTTTAGGGGACACACATTTCCTACAACAATCTTAGATTCTACAGAAAGTAGTGGTGTGTTCAAAATGAAGAAACGCCGGACAGACGAAGAAGGTTGAAATCAAATGTATTTAATAAAAGGAAGGGTGTTGTGGTAAAAAGAACATCTCAGCTGAGGCGCCGCTGGTCTTTGCAACCAACAGGACCCCCCCCAATAGTGCCTGTCCGTTGCTTCCACCAGAGAACTCCAGAGAGCGATGGTTGCCTACAGATATTTATACAGATCAGTAAAGGTGTGAAAGTTAGTGTCCACGCCTCTGGGAGTGGCCTTCTGGTGAGTTCAATGTAACTCGGATTTTTTGTCCCTTAGTCAATATCAGTTGTGGTGTGGTCAAGTATTACATGCATTCCAGTTGATTACATTACATTAAATACAATCATAACTGTACATTAGTACTTTTCTATTGATTACAGTTTCAAGTGGTTTTACAATATTGTCATTACTTTATTGATTATACAGTTTCAGAATCATGGCTGTATTCTGATGTACACTATATGCATTTTATTAAATTTTGAACCGGGTTGTCCGTTTATTTCTAATATCCTACAGTAGCGAACGTTACCAGTAACGGCGTCTGAACCCCCAGTTCAGAAACTAAGCGCGAGACAACAACCGTTGATTTTCTCAGTGATTAAGTTTAGTTACACTCAACAAAGTGGCTTTACTCAAAACGTCTCCCCGCTACCGCGAGGCCCAGTGAAGACACGTGAAAAACACAAAAACAAGGATCGCCGCCATCTCCCGGGACTCAAAAGAAGGTAGATTTGAACTCGGACCGCTGGATTCAGAGTCCAGGGCGTTAAACCGTTCAACACAGAACCACGGCGCCCCGCGGAGCCATGAATGTCAGTTGATGTAGCTTAAAGAGTTAAGCAGCGTTGAAGGGATTGAAAGCAACCGTATTTTACTGAAAGACACACGCAAACACGTCCTTGTCCTTTGGCGCAGTTGAATAAATATAGCCCACAAAAGTTCACGTTACCGTTGAATGTTTTAACGGCTAGCAGGTGATGCTGTAACCATGGCAACTGCGCATTGCCGTCCGTGTGGGGGGCAGAATAATGTCCTCGTTTCAGAGGGCCGTCTTTGAAAGCGTGTTGTCCGGAGACCTGGAGGCTCTTCAGCGGTGTTTGGAGCGCGAAGCAGCCGCCGAGTCGCGGGAGCTGGATCCGTTCGGCATGAAGGACAAAGAGGGGAGAAACGCGCTGTTAAACGCCTGCATGTTGGGGCGGACCGCCATCGCCCGGGAGCTGGTGCGACACGGGGCCCGCGTCAACGAGCGGACGGCCCGAGGTGAGCAGGCCACGTGGTTACTAAGAAGAACTAGTTTCTGTTCTATTCTACTGAATTGCCATTTCTATGTTTTCCTCTCTTTGGGTTACACCGCGCTGCACCTCGCCGCCTGCTGGGGCCACCTGGGGATCGTGGGGACCCTGGTGGAGCTGGGAGCTGACCTCCAGGCCAAGACCTTCAGAGGGCAGCGCCCCGTGGACCTGGCCCAGACCTACTCCAGGACACAGTGCGCTAACTGTCTCCTCACGGCCGGTGTGTGTGTGTGTGTGTGTGTGCAGCTGATGCTTGGTGGGTAATCATGAGCATTATTCCTGACCAATGTCTATATTTCTGTGCAGAAGCTAAACAGGACCTGATGACATATGTAGGTTTTGTTCAGGACCTTGTCTCTGACCCAGAGAGCAGCCTCACAGGGGAGGAAAAGGTGACACATTTTCCATTAGGATTCTCAAATATTTGTTTGTATGGATTATTATTGATTATTGCTTTAGGTCCTTTTTGTGGATGTGCATATTTTCACGAAGGACCAATTGGCCCTGGGGCTGTTAAGAGACGCAGCGAGGGGGAAAATGATGTGTGTACACGCCCACCAGCAGGTCTCTCCTGCCACATAAATATCAGTGACTTTCTCTTGGGTTGACCTCTGCACAGGAATTTTGTGAATGTGCGTGCTCTGCCAAGACGGACTGGATCCAGAGTGTCAGAAACCCAAAGGCGGCAGACTTCACAGCCCAGAGGAGAGACATGGAGGACACCCTGCGGCCCATTCTCCACAAGCCGTCTGCTCAGTGTACGTATTGGCACAGTAGTATTGGTACCGTTGTTGCACAGCATTGAAATCTCTCCCCGGAGTCTTTCGCTAACTGCTGCCGACTGATTTTGTGTTCTTAAATCTTTCCTTATCGGTCAGTGAAACCAGCCCAACAAGCTGCAGTTTCCCGCTTTGATTTTTTTTTTACGGATGCAAGAGAAAATTGGGTGAAGAAGCGTTTGTTGTTGTAAACTTTATTGTGGGCCACAAGAGGCTGAAGTGCGCCATCATGTCCTATATAAGACGAAAGACTGATGTGCCATCATTTGCAACAACACAAGACATGTTCCGTGTGTTTAGGGCGCATGGGCCGATTAAAGCTCACCTGAGGGTTAGTGTTACGACAGTGTTAATTACCCAGCGGGGGTATCGCCATGGTAACCCTCTGGAGCAGATGTTGTTCAGTACGATGTTTAAATGTGTTCATTTCTACATGTTCACGTCGTCAGCGATTTATTGGCCGGCGTCCTCCCTGGATCTGTTGGAACTGCGTGACTTTCAGCCCGAGCGGTGTGTTTCGGGTCGGTGTACTTGACTGATAAAAGACATCGCTCTGTTCGTGATGGCCCGTTTGCCTCTCAGGTCCCACAGAGGTCTTTGGAATTACACTAAACAATTATCTTGTGTGTTTGAAGTGTTCCCTTTATCTCTGATTGCAGCAGCAGGAAAGGTCGAAAGCAGAGCACTGAAATGTCAGCGTTAATAAATGTCTGGAAAACAGACAAATGTTTCTATGTATAATTAGTCAGACCTCATTCAGAACACATTTGCCGGCCTTCATGACCTTCTCGTGTCTTCCATTGTTGAAAGAAATTCCCACAGGACCCGATGACGTCACTTGGGCCGCCTGCTGCAAGGAGACGCGACACGTCCCCGTTGTGCACCCTGCTGGGGGGAAACGACACCTCGATTGTATCTAAGACGAACTCAGCTCATTTGTGGTGTTGCTAAATGCTTGAGCATTAATAAACTGGATATAAAATAGCTCCCCGGCGTGCAGTGTTGAACGCATATTTTGAATGAATGTCTTCGGATACAGCCGGGACTCAAGTGAGTCCCCCCCGTTCATCAGATTCCACATAGCTCCCATTTATTAAAAGGTTCCCCTCCACCCCGTGAATCCATACCGACAAGGGACAAGGACCAACTCAGAGCATGAAGCCATGCAAGTGCACGTGTGCTCCAGCGCGTACAGTCCACTTCCCTCAGCACGCGACTGGTACTGAGGCTCAGCGTTCCGACGCAGGACGGTCTGGTCTCTAAACATCCAATGCTTTTCTTCTGTGAGGACGACGGTCAGTCACGAGACGCCATGTTGGACGGGACGCAGCGACCACCAACAGAGGACGTACTGCTTCAAAAACATTCTATCTGCAGGACCAGTCAAAGGTTTGACACATTTTATCATTCAATGACAAAGTGTCCAAACTATTGACTCGTCCTGTGTGTGTGTGTATCGATCTATCAATATATTTTTCTATAATTAAAACATACCTGAGAAAAGGTTTAATCAGACAAAAGGATAATAGATTTCCTTGTAGTTTCTCCTTTTAGTCAAGGAATTGGTAACTTAGTAAATCTAATGAACTTACTGTTGAGACAATTTGAGTGCTATACATCAACTGACAAATATCCAAACTTGTGGTTACTACAGAAATATTTTGCAATAAAAAAGGTGGTTGGAACAGAATATTGTGATGTCCAATTGGCTCCATATTGCCCAGCCGGACACGAGTCTTCTGGAAGCAATGATCGAACTATTGCTGCTCTGAGACGCTGCGTCTGCGAGACATAAAGAGACATTCTTCACATTCACCGTTCATTTTAAGACGCTGCTGTAAACTGAGGGTTTACTCAACAAATGTCTCCACCGCCTCCTTTCTACTCCGTCAGCTTGCGGATTCACTGACGGCAGCGAGCTGGCTGTTTCTGAAATGAGTCATGTGATGTCGTTGGGTCCTCGTGTCGTCCCTCCTCAGGTCCCCGTGTTGTTGTCTGAAGGTGAAGGCGCCGCGTTCGTTGGCATGTGGGGAGAGAGAGGCGCACCGCTTCTTCCCGCTTAAAGTACGCGTGTCCGGGGGCAGCCATCTTTGTTTCCTGCAGTCCTGCTGGGCGCCCCCCCCACTCCGATGCATCCTGATTGTTTGGTGTCACGATGAAGTGGGCGCTCTCGGTGATAGAACATGGCTGCCACGTGTTTCCCGTCCACAGGCTGAGCTCCGTGTGTACGCGGGACTCAGAGCTGTTCGGGCCCCCCCTTTGGGAGCCTCTCCAGCAGGGCCTTGTGGTCCACACCAACACTGGCCACCAGCCCTCCTTTGTTGAGCGCCGCGCCGCTGTAGTCGATGTCCTCCCCCTTCAGCGTCGTCATGTGACCACCTACAGGCACAAGTCATTGGTCATTGGTTCAGGCCCCTTCCGCATGAAACATTCATTGGTTGAAAATGTAACAATACAACAAGCTTAGTTTGTGGTATAATTACTTGGATGGATGTACTCTCAAATATAAAATATGATCGTCATTTTTAGCCACGATAAAGAGAATCTATCAGCAAATTAATGCACGGATTCAAAGAGCAATGAACTTTTAATTATTATTGAAGAATGGTGAAACTGGAATATTAAAATAAACAAACCACGATACCAAACAAGAGGGTAACATAGAAGGTGCAAAGCCTGAGACCTCCAACGGTCTAAAACTAATCAAGGTCATGTGCAAATACTCTAAGCCCACAGCATCATTTTGAACAGGCATTTCATTACGCAATGTCCTTCGAGGTTGAATTGACAACCGGCTGCATTTTAGCACGCCTCTCATGTGCGCTGAAGATATCTTATGTTGCTAGGCAACATAAATGCTGCACTGGGCACAGAGACTACTCGGACAGATGGCGTCCTCTAACTGTTTTCACTCAAGGTCAGAGCCGCCTGGGTTATTTAGCGAGACGTGGCCGTGTTTTCCACCCTATTATCTCTGCTTTAAAGTCAACGAGGCTCAGTCACGTACTTCAGGATTTACCAACTTAGTCAGAATGTGCCTGTTCTTGTAACCCCCCCTCGTTGATACAGATCAGCGGGGGAACCTGAATGAAAATGGAAAGTGAGAAGAGAAGTTACCCAGTGCATTGAGTAGTGCTGCACCAGCGCAGATGTCCCACTTCTTAATGAAGGTGACGTGGATGTAAACGTCCGCCTCGTCCACAGGCTCCTTTGCACTCGAAGGCATTGACACAAGAGACAGGACCTTGTACCCTGAGAGAGACAAACAACCAATAATGAATCACACTAGTCCCACGGTATTCTGACATCCACCATTTTGTACATGAACGCCAATTCTCACCTGCTCCACCTGCTTCTATGATCGTTGTGCTGTTTCCAAAAGCATCCTGAACAAAGCTTCGAACTTGTCCAGAGTGGGAACGTGATACAATCGTCTTCGGAGGGCTGACACTGTAGGACGCACGGGGACTCACATTTGACCCCTGACCTACAAACGCCCAGGCTGCGGGGAGGGGGAGAAGGTCATACGTGTCTTATGTCATTATAACAGCTCTAGAAAGCCTATTTCACAGATGCCTCCCCTAATGGCATGGACACACACACACACTTACCGGTGAAGTCAGCGAACGGCTGGTGTATGACCCCAATGACTGGTTTACCATCTACGGCCACGCACACCATTGTGGTCACAAACTTCACCAGGTTCTCTGTGGGGAGTAAGATGAGAGATGCTGAGGAGAGCTCATAGGGCCGTGTAGGGAACCGGGTCAGTACGGATGAGACCAGATACAGAGAGAAGTGTCACCTGACTCCCCTCTACACTACTCACAACTCTCCATCAAACCGTCGCACTGAACTTTAAGGGCAGCAGCGGAAGCTGTGCGGGCGGCGTATTGCTGTCCAATGGGTGTCCTCAAATGGCCACGGAGATGAGGACAACGCAACATCAGTGACAACGCCCACCTGTGTATTCCTGTGTAGCGTCCAGGGGGTCGATCCACACCGTGACTCTCTCAGCCGAGACGTCCTTGCCCCCCTTGATCTTGTCAAGTATGTCGGCTGGAATGTTGCGGCTCCAGGACGCGGCCTCTTCCACCGTGTTGTCGTGCTCCTCGCTGATCACCTGAACAAATGCAGGCAGAGGTACGAGTCACGTGCGTTAGGCTCGTCTTTAAATCAAGCGCTCCTCTAACGTTCAGGTCAAAGCCTTTTCTTACCGTGACATCAGGGAAGGTGCTGCTTATGAGGTTGAACATCTTCCTATGAGAGCGCAGGTCACCCGTGGTCAGAAGTTCATCGGCTCCCTCCCTCGTCTTGCCCTTTGACTTCTCCTCCAGGTTATCACCATTACGCGTCTTCTTCACCTGGGGGACGTGTGGACGAGACTTGTATTGCACACATTGTAGTATACGTAAGCTGCATCAGCGTTTCCCCTCGGTTTCGCGGCGTCAGTGCGTGTGTGAAACAGGGAGCGGAAAAACAACGGGATACTCAGTGGAACATGAGCCTTTTCAATATTTGCCCACTGAGCCGCGTAAACATGGTTCTTTTGTTTTACCTCCAAGCCACCGAGCACCGCAGCCTCCACCGAGACAGCCAGCAGGTCCCTCAGATCCACTTTGTCCCCCTTCCTGCAGGGACCAAAGGACAGAAGAGTCACGTCACACCTGATGACGCGGTGTGGGGCACATCAGGGGAGGGGTTTGTTGACATTGCCCCCCCAGGTATTATTTGCTACGATGCTGATATTTTGTGTATATGTGTACCATCACACAACTGCAGAGACGAATCCGTGTTTCCACCATTGAAAGCCAGACGACCAACAAAAATGTTTGATCCTATCGGTCAAATGAAGTGAAAGTCGAACTACACAGACACGTTCAAGTCGCACCGGACCGGACCGGGACCTGCCGTGAGAGGGGATGCCAAGCGATCATCGCCATAATCGTGTCTGTAAATGAGAGCGAGGAGAGTCTCACCTGAACGCAGCCCAGCGGTTGGAGATGACCCCCGCGTACAGGTGGTAGATGACGCCGACTCCCAGCAGGCAGAACACCGCCACACCGAGCGGGGACAGCCGGACGCCCATCGGAGCCATCGCCGGAGGAGAACACTGAAGCGCTCGCTGGGATGACGACCCACAACACGAGAGGGCACAGGGGCGTCTGATGCTAAGCTAGCGTTAGCTGACGTGGCTGTCCGGCGAGGCGAGCTAACGTCCGCGAGCCACTTCGCAGCCGGCGTGAACGCGTCGACTGTCACGCGAGGAAACCAGCGCGCTGTCAGAGAAGCCGCACGCGGGCGAACGCCGATTAGCTGCTCGTGCGTTTAGTGGCGTCCGGTGTCTGTTTGACGAGATTCCCCGAATAAGCGAGCGTCGTTTGGGTCCGTAGCCGCATTCCGTTGGCGGGACCGCTGCTCGTTCCGCCCGTTAACGTGCTGCTGGCGTGGAGCGCGAGGCGGAACAATCACACCTCTGTTCACTCATTACGAACACACGAGAGGTCACGAGCTGCTCGCTTCTCTTCCGGGTTACGCTGGTGACGTCATCGCTTTTGGGTTTGGTATTAAAATGATGCATATATACATACATACGTATATATTCATATACAACTATATATATATATACATACATACATATATATATATATATATATATATATATACACACACACATATATATGTATATATATATATATATATAGACACAGGTGACCCCCACAGAGATATATATATATGTTTATGTATACTCCACGGACGCATCACTGTCTTCTGTTTCGTTTACGCGTGCATAGACGCAGTTCTATACAATGGGTAAGTAGTGTATTTACAATGAGGGATGGACAACCGGACTCTCAACAAAATGCTGCAGTTTAAACAGGATTAGTGTGTGTTTATTGTGTTGCTGTACTCTAAGACACGGCTCAACCTCCCTGTACTCAGGGGACAATGTTTGCATTGCAGTAGTAAGAGGACATGGTTCTGACACAGATCCTCTCCAGGTTACCCGGTAGGTGCGGCCGTCGAGGTAGGACGAGAAAAGGGAGAGAAGAGCCTGAGACACCAAGTTCCTGAAGGGAGGAAATAAGGATCTGGTGGTTGACCGTGTGAAATGCAGCAGAGAGGTCCAGGAGGATGAGGACAGAGGAGAGAGGGGCGGCTCTAGCAGTGTGGCGTTGCTCTGAGACAGCGAGGAGAGCAGTCTCTGTGGAAAGGCCTTGAAGCCTGACTGGTGGGGGTCAAGGAGGTTGTTACAGTGGAGATAGGAGGAGAGTTGGTTAAAGATGCTGTTGTGTTAAAATGGACGCCCTTCCTTGTCGTTCGCAGCCTGATGTAGAACAAAATACACTGTAAAATGTCAAAGGAATGGGTATCAAAAGGGTTCATATGGTGCATACAATAAAACGTCCGTAAACGGTTTGTCTTAGCTGTTTTCGGTCTAAATATCCTTATGACAGATGCCACTGTGTATCTGCTTGGATGAACTCAGTCCAGACTCCCTCAGTGTCAATCCATGGTTGACAAAATGGTCCACAAGAGTTGTGTGGATTTCATTAGTTACATTTGTTTCTCTTCTTCTTTGAGCTTCATGTCTTCCTCCATCTCTGTGGATCCCCCTTCACCCTCACTCTTCTCCTTCAGCTCACCCGCTGCATCTCCTGGTGCTTAAACACACCTGATTGGTGTGTTTAACCAAATAATGTATAGATGTAATGTAATGTATAGAAGTGTTTTCAGTGTGAGGCTGACGTAAAAACTGTTCTGGGAAGAGTGTCTTTTTATTAGTGTCTATTTTCTCTTATCTTACTTTGCTTTGTCTGGTTTTGTACTGGACTGTCATTGTGGAGCGTCTTTATGGCGTTGGTGTGTTTTGGTGTGTGTGTGTGTGTGTGAGCGATACAGGGAGCGGAAGAACAATGTGACACTCAGTGGAACACATACGTTAGAAAAGCCCAATATTATTTGTCCACTGAGCTGTGCAAACGTGTTTTACCCTGAAAAAGTATTATTATTATAGTAGTAAGCGGCACTGGCTGATTGTAATAATCCAGGTCTCTCTCAACGTTTCTGAAGCCACATCTTTGACACAAACTGATACAAAACAAACAGCTTCTTAGAGTCACGGCCGCACGTTGAGACACCGAGGAAGTTCATGGAAAACTTTATGTTGATAAAGACGGGTTATAGTTAGCGTTGGTCTTTATAAACCAACATATCAGTCTGCCCTAAAGAGACCTGCAATCATCTTTGTTCAGCCACTTAATGTCTCACAGTTCCACATCTTCAGTACTGTACAAGTTTCAGTACTGACATGCAGTCTCCTCCTCCTCCTCCTCCCCAGGTCTTAACAGCTGGTTGTCTCCTTGTTCTCTCATCTCCTCTTCCTCCTCCTCCTCCTCCTGAGCAGGCATCTCCCCTTCCTCTGATGTCACTTCTTTACATCTTCATTTCCCCTCTTCATTTCCCTCCTTGTCCACCGGCCATTTGACAGCGATGTGGTAAGACTGGAGCTCCTCCTCAGACACAAAGTCCGGGGCGCAGCTCATAAGGTCGTGACCCCGGAATGACTTGGGGAAGGCGATGACGTCGCGGATGCTGGGCGCGCCGACCAGGATGGAGACCAGTCGGTCCAAACCTAGAGAAGCGATAAGCAAGAGTGATAAGAGGACGGCTTGGATGAAATAGCTTAACCAATAGAAACCCCGATGTTGTGCAGTAACCTGTGAGCCCAGCAGACCGAGCTGGCACGTTGGTCCTTGATCATGAAAGCACGTTTATAATGAACCTTTCATCTAATGAAATGCATAGTTCTACAGCCCCGACACACAATATGCAGCAGGAGGAGCTGGCCATGCGTTCTACACTGGACAGGCATCAGTGGGTGTGTCTCAACTCGTGGGCTGCATCCTTAAGGACACGTTCGTTGACCGCATACGTAGGGATGAGCATCGTCTGGGTTTTTTCCGTTACCAGTGCTAAACACATACTTTTATAACGATAGCGGTGCCTAAACCGATACTTAAAAAATACATTTAAAAAAAAAAAGCACAAAACAATGATTGAAACAAAATGCCAAGGCAATTTCTTTTCTTAAAATTGAACAAAATATTAACTGTTTACAGTTTACTTAGTGTTGAAGTGTATCCATTAGTTCAGCGATTCCCAAAGTGTGGGCCGAAGGTACTGCAGGTGGGCAGCGAGAGGTCATTTGCAATAAATAAATCAAGTTTTTTTATTTTCAATTTTTAAAAGTTTGAAATTAATATAAAAATATTTATGATGCGGCACATTAGTTATGTGAAACATTAGTTGATGAAGCACAAACAATTTAAACGGACAGATTAATAAAACAATAAGGCTCTTGCTCAAAACGGCTGCTCTTGTCCGCCTGTCGTTCAACAATGGGGCGCCCTCTTGCAGTATTAAAGTAAATATACCGCATTTTCCGCACTCCAAGGCGCACTTAAAAGGCTTTAATTTTCTCAAAAAACGACAGTGCCTTATAATCCGGAGCGCCTTGTATATATGGATCAATTGGTTAATCGGTTGATCCATACTGGTTGTACACGGCGCTCAAGGCGCTCTGCCAAACATGCCAAAGCTGGTCTACGACGGCGAGATGCTGAGCGGCGCTCAAGCGTGTGAGATATGGAGCCGCTGTACTAGTTCATTGGAATTTGGGTAATATCAATCATTTAATTTTTTATGCATTGTGCAGGAAGGAAGGCTGCTGTGAGGCCGGAGTCATCGGAGTGTAAGTAACCGAAAGCCGATGTGGAGGAAACCACGTGTGATCTATCTGATCAATCCTTTACGGCCCAGCATATCCCAGCATGCAGTGCGGGCCTACGTGGAGGGGTGAGCCGACAGCAGGGAAGAGTTCACTTTTAAATTAAGTACTAGAAGTTTTTCGGTTTTTAAGGCCCTTTTTTACTGTCAAAGCTGATGACATAAGCAGGAAGTCCCCCCCCGTAGGACAGACCGCCCCATTTCAGAGTCCGCTCTGCACCTGGAGGATCTAGTCCAGGTAGACTAGAGGGCTGATTCCTCATGAGAACACAGCTAGTATCTGCAGAGGTGTAGACTGTGGTGTTAGTGTTTTCCCTACCATTATATCAAGGGGGGCGCCCCCCCACCCTGAAAAAGAGTGGAATTTTGACAACACAGCCAGGTCAATGCGCAACTGGGAACAGATACGACTGGCTCCTTTCCTCTTATTCACGTGAATGGGAAGCTGAATGATCTGTGACGGCATCGGCCGGCCTTCGGACCTTGCTGATACTAGTTCAGTGATCGCCGAAGCCGGCTGCGGTCGGGTACAGAGTTGTCCTCACCCAGAGCAATGCCCCCATGTGGCGGCGCTCCAGAGTCCAGAGCCTCCAGCAGGTGAGACAGGAGACCGGGGTCCTCCTGCAGTGGACACACTTCGTAAACAGCAGGTCTGACAAACGATTCAACCCAATTCCCAAACTGTGACGGCAAACGATGACGGACCTTCAGGACGCTCTTGAGAACGTAAAGCTGCTCCGAGGCCTTGTGGATGCGGATGGATCCTCCTCCAATCTCACAGCCGTTCAACACCAGGTCGTAGTGCTGACCACGTACCTGGACGGGACGCGTGTGATTATTATCAAACGAGAACAGGTGGAAACGACGCTGAGGCAAGAGCGACTCTACGTGCGTACCTTCTGAGGCTGCGTGTAGAGCAGCGGCGTGTCCTCGGCCACCGGGGCAGTAAATGGATGATGGGCTGACTCCAGCTGATCCGGCGCCTCTTCTTTGGGCAAGAAGAGGGGGAAGTCCAAAACCCACAGGAAGTGGAAAGCCGAGGGATCGCGGACCGACACGCCGCGTGACTCCAGCAGCTCCGCACAGCGCAGACGCAGGTTACCCAGCAACGGGCGCTGAGGGGGACAGACGGGAGAATAGGATGTCAACACATGCACAAGCCACGAGCAGAACGTTTGACGTGGCTCGTGTGTCGTACCACACTGTGGAGGGACCCGGCTGCCATCAGCAGCAGGTCTCCTGCTTTGGCTCCGGTCCTCCGCAGCAGCTCGTCTGTGTCCGAGACGGACAACAGCTTCTTCAGAGGAGACCTCAACGTCCCGTCCGGCTTGACCAGCACCACGCTGAGCCCCTTGGGGGGGGGGATAGAAAGGCATTCACACACGAGGAACACTCAAATAAACCTTTGTGAGACTTCTGTTTTGGTTTGGGGAGCGTTGGCGTGAAGTTAGCAAAGAGTTTGCTCGCGTGCTGCTACTCCAGTCGGTTTCTTAAAACTCCATCCAATATAGTTATTGCAGGAGTACCTCATACAGCATTGCACAAATCATCTATTTATTATTAGAAACTGATTTGACTTTCTATGCCTTATTCACTACGGGCGGATTAGTAGAAAACAAGAAGAAATGGTGCAATCCCATCAAAGATCAACAAAAGTTGAAGGAAAGTGGACAAAGAAACCGACCTGGCCGAACTGAGTCTTGGCTGTTTGCTTCAGTTCTTCCAAATCCTTCCCAGCAAACAGCTTCTGTGGTCAAACACGAGAGCGAGAGGATCCTTGGAGTCAGCCGCTCAAACACAGTTCTGTTTGGTTGTCAGGCCAGCGTGCGCGGATGGGTCTCTTTTAGCAGTAAGAACAGGTTTCGGTCTTACCGCTCCGCTGGGGACACAGATGGCCTGGACGGAGCCTCCCGGTTGGCTGAGAGCTGATCTGAGAACGTCAATTTCCGTGGACAAGAAAACCTGACAGAGGTCGATGAGCTGGACGAAGAGACAGAAAGACGACACACTCGTGCTCAGAAGAAACCTCCACCACTGCTGCTAGAACACTAAGAACAGCACGTCAGTCGTGAAATGACCTTAATAGAAAATCCGTTTTGATATCAGATCATCTAGGTGACGTTAAGAAGCAAAGAAACAGGCAGTGAAAAGGTTCTAACCGTCATGCTGAATCTGGTGTCGGGCTTGTCCACGCCGTAGTCCCTCATGGCCTCTTCATACGTCATAGTCGGGAAAGGAGCCATAACGGCACCTTTCTCTGCGGGCCAGGAGTACTGTACGAGACCCTCCACCAGGGACAGGATGCCAGCCTGGTCCACAAAAGACATCTCTATGTCTACCTGGGAGAGACAGCGAGAGGCTGGTCAGAGAACCGGGGTCATCACAAGTCAGAGTCAACAGCAGATGAAGGCAACCGGAGCCAGCAGGAGACAGACGTCTCTCCCAAATGATGCTCAAGTCACTTTACGTGCCCTCATAAAGGCTTGTTGACATTCCTCGGATATTCTAAACATACATCTTGCTACTAAATCTATTGCCAGCTCAAAAATGCATAGAAATGATGATTGAGCGGTTTGTAATATTGATTAGATATTGATTAGGGTAGATGAAATCCAGCGTTCTGATTGGTTGAGAGTGAGTCACGAGGGGTACGTTATTGAAAGATAATGTACAGTAGCTGGTCACATTGACCCGAGCGTTCCGTATCACTGCGCACCCAAAGTAGCAGGTTAGATTTTGCGCGGCCGTTAGTTGACGTTTTAGCTTTCAGCTCGGTGACGATCGGCGAATAAAACCCAGAAATCCCACAAATTATCGGTTTGATCGGTTCCGGGCAATGCCAGCTTTCACAACCGGACAATTAAGGTGGACGTCATGATCGATGTGAATGAATGAGACGGTGCGAGACCCGATGCTGTTTACGTGCAAGTACAGGGACTATTTGTCTCTAGACTACTGAAATGAGACACACACAGACACACAACTAATTTGTGCTGAAAGGCAGCGATTTCCTTCCTGATTCTAGTTTCGCTGGTAACCGTATTATAAAAGCAATAAGGTACTTGAGGCTGTACTTTACATTCAATAATGTAATAATAATATAATAACAGTTTGAGGGTTGCTAACAACACCCCGAACTGTTACATTATTGGACAATAAAGCACAGCCTCTCGTACCTTATTGCTTTAGTAAAAAGTCCCACTGTGGGATAAATGAGTCAAACTACCTTCATTGAAAAGGTCGAGTCGGGAGTCAACATGTTCCAAATGTAATTGTTCTACTGGTGACTTCTCGTCACTATCGACACAAATGAAATGTGGCATTTATTGAAAAAGGCTTCCCCCCTCTACATTACCTGGGTGAACTCTGGCTGCCGGTCCGGCTTGGAGCCTTCATCTCGGTAGCACCGAGCCATCTGGAAGTACCTGCCACGAGACAAACACGTCTTAGCGCCCCCCTCACGTCACACCCGTGTGAGTCGGACCAGCACAGCTCGGGCCTGCACCCACCTGTCGATCCCCGCCACCATGAGAAGCTGCTTGAACTGCTGGGGGCTCTGGGGCAGCGAGTAAAACCGGCCCGGTTCTCTGGACGGAACCACGAACTCTTTGGCTCCCTGAAACAGGAGATTCAACCCCTCGGTAAGTGAAAACAAACAGAATTTTCCTAAATCTCTGTCACATACAGCCACTGTTAAATCCTTTGAATGTTGGTTTGAACGTAATCATGATACATGATAGAAGACCCTCTTACCCCGGGTGTTCTTTTAAACAAGGTAGGAGTTTCCACGTCGACAAAACCTACAGGAAATGAATAGACATGCTCAAGCAATGAGGGCTGGACTCCGTCACCTCATCTATAGTGTTTGCGTGGGTTCTACTGCGGAAACCCCCACAGGGACGGGAGGAAGAGAGGCCGTTCTGGGGATTGTTGTTCTAAATGTGATCTTTGATCATTTAACAATAATGGAAACAAAACTTAAAACATCAAAACATCGGCCAAATGATCCGTTTCAGACTCTATGAGCAAATACAGAAAACTGTGTTTCTTGCAAGTCGCTGCGTTGTGCCAGATTCTCAATAAAGTTAGAAAAAACGGCAAACCCACGCTCACGAAGGTACTCGTTTAACGTTACATGGAATCTGCATGTCGCTAAATATCCAACTGAGATCAGCTTGTGCCGTTCTGAACAAGGAACCGGCGCTACTGACAAAAAGGTTCTGCCAAGAGAATCTTTGTCATCCTTCATCTTTTGATGTCATAGTCAAAAGAAGGAGATGACAGTAGCGTTACGAAAGTCTAACCCTCGTGTTTTACATACAGGGAGAAATCAAAGCTCACCTGGAAGAATAGAACAAACCCCTGGAATATAAATGATGTCATATAAAGTGTCAAATTTGCTTTCTGCCCGGTTTTGCTAATTCAATAAAAAAAAAGAAGAAGAAAGATTTAAAGAAACATGGATCCAACCCCTGAACCGCTGATGGAAGGACGACCCCCACTACTGAGCTGCAGGGAGAGGATCCTCTTGCTCACCGTGCACATTACAGAGGTATTCTCTCATCTTCATCACCAGCTGAGACCTCAGTCTGAGGTTCTTCTGCATCTGAGAGGACCTCAGGTCCAGGTAGCGATACTGCATCCGCAATGACTCCGATTTCTGTGCAATCAAACAGCAGAAACCTTGTTTTATGATCAAACAGCATGAAAGTTACATTACCTGCTTGGAAGTGCGTGAAAGATTAACTTACTTTGACAAAGTCTTTGATCTCAAAAGGCAGCTTCCGGCTCACATTGAAAACCTCCACACTATCAGCCAGGATCTCTATGTCTCCTGTCGGCATCGCCTGTTGGTGATGGAGCAGCAGAAGGAAAAGATGGAGCACTGAACAAGAAATGACTACAACGCCTCTTTGCAAATAGCCTGACGATCCAGATTCAAACTTACACATAACAGCAATTCAGTGTAATCCTTGGTATGATTAAAGGTGAGATTGCTGGATACTTGTTCCACACACACTATGAATTACATTAAACACTTACTGTATATTTGAAGCTGTAAACGGGATCGTTTTTCTTTTTTGTGACGGAAAAGACATTTTGTTTTATATTTTACGTTAGCAAATAAATGCATATATGAAATGGAGATAAATGTAACAATTTCTATTCTACTGAAGTTATTAGTTTTCATTTTACCGTTTTAAGCAAAACATTTTGAGCAGACACACACACACACACCTTGTTCTCCTGGCCCGTGGGACGTCTTCTGACTGTCCCCGTAACCTTGACGACAGACTCGGCTGGGAGATCGCACAGCGCTGCTTTCAAATGGCACGCGGACTTCAAACCAAAACAGAAGCTTAAGCACATATTCTTGACATCAAACAAATCAGAGCATCAATGCACTCCAGTTGTCTTCGTTCTTACTTCTTCCTGAGGAATCAGAACTTGGACCAATCCGCTGAAATCTCTCAGGATGACAAACAGGTCCTGCCTGTTGGAGCCAGAAACATTGTTAAATACTATTTTTTTAAGAGATCAAAAGAGCAAAACACCTAACTGTGCCACCGTCAAGTGGTAATATCAGTGTAATTGTACATTTTCTCTTTACTCCATAAAGTATTGAGCAGCGAGCTATGGAGAGCTCACAGGAAGCGAACAACGCGTGTGTGATGGTGACCTGAACATCGGCGAGTGCGCCTCAAATTGAGTATGCAGCTTTAAATTGTGACAAATGTTTTTGCAAATGGAAAATTAGGCAACATTGTTCTCATTTCACTTTAACCATGACATTTGATTTTGAAAATCGTCTGTGCGGTAAGTTAGGACTTGGAAGAAAAGGTTAGGGTTTGAAGGCTACGTGAACAGAAGACTACCTGAGGTACTGGACCCAGCCACACAGAGACACCTCCTCTCCCACGTGGTCCGATCTCAGTTCTCCACACGTGTGACTCCTGAACGACAGACTGCTGGGACCTGGAGGAGGATGAAGGTGGAGAATGTGACGGGGCGATACCTGGAATTGGTCACGTGACGTCGTCTTCGTTGCCATCGTCCAAACCACCCCGAGCTACAAAATAGTAAACACATGTGTGGCGTTCGGTGGAACGGAATGCGATGCTTTCGGTTTGATTAGTTCTTGGGCTTCTGTGAATTTAAATAGTATTAAAAATGGATATTTCTAGAAAGATTTCAATTGGAGTCAATAGACATGTCTCACAGAAGACACATTCTTCTAGGACTTGCTAGTATGATGGTCTACACTTGATAAGTCATCTTACTCAACTAGGACGGGACTCGACTTCCAAAGCCCCAAATAACAAGGAATGTAATTATCACTTGTGCTTTTCAGGCTACACAAGGCAAATGGAAAGTATCCACTAGTTTCAATACAGATGTAACTACAACCAGGAGCCTTTAAACAGTCGCTACATATATATTAAAGACTGGAGGGAGCCGTAATAAGGGGACGAAGCATTCTTTGCCTACCTGTGGCCGCAGACCGTGACCGGAGCAGCGGGAGGGAGCCGCTCACGTGTCTGATTTGGGGTGTCCACAGCGGGCGTCCCTGACGTGGGCGTGCGGCTGGGCTCCGGGAGCAAACGCTGTGAGCTCGGAGTCCACTGAACACCCTCCGAAGCGCATACCTGCTCTTCGCAGCCATGTTGACCGAGGACCAAAGCGGGACGTTTGACTGAAGCTGTCAGAGTCAACCGGATGTTACGTCAGCCGTTTGGAGGACGACGAGCGCTGTCAGAGAGAGCTTCTTGTGTAGTGACGCCGTTATTCAACACATGAGGACGAACGCCGAGAACCGGACTTCACTGACCGGGTTGGATGAGAATAAGTCTTCCGCGTGCAGCAGCATTTTGCTCGCTTTCGTGTCGCGTTATATGTTGCTTAGGAGCCGCGGAAACGCAAACGGATATGACGTTGTAATAGCCACTTTCTTCTTCTTCTTTTGTTTTTTTTCATGGCGATTGGCAAGTACTTTTCTGTTGCGCATTACCGCCACCTTCTGAAAAGGAGTGTGGACTGCAACGACAGCGCTATATTATATGTAAATATGTGCCTATCAACTGTATGCTGTGAATTAAGTTGCATCAGTTGTGTGAAGGCAAACCTAATTTTTCAGTATTCTTTGAGTGCTTCTAAGACCAGTCTGTCCACACCTCATTCTAGATATACTATCTTCCTCGTTATTCCTTCGGTTAGTTTCTCTCATTTCTCAAACTTCCTTTTGGATTTGATCATGTCGTACTCTCTTTATTTCCATAATAATGTCTGGTCTTGCGTCTGATTTGATATCCCTGATGTTTACTAACGCGTTGCTTGAGTCTGATCCTATTAAAACTTCGTTTTAATACGTCATGTGGCCCTGGAGGTAAACATTTGCTTTTGCAAAAAATAAAAAGAAGTGAACGCCACATGACCGCCTAGTTAGGTTTAGTATAATGTTAGTATGTTGGCAGAAATAGATTTATATTAATATGTCCTGTTTAGGTATCCAATTATATTCATACATTTTTGTATTTATTCTTTTGTCTTTGTATTTATTTATTCATACATTTATTCAAGCATGTATTTTTTGATCCCCTTATTTATTCATACATTCATTTATGCATTTATTTATTCATACTTCATTCTTCATTCGTCATTTTCCGTCCTCCACAGTCAGCTGGGTGACGTGTTTACAAATCTTAAATATCCGATCGAACTTGGAGACGTTTTTCTGGGATCATACAAATATAAAAAAAGAATAACCTTAACAATCCAAACTGTATTGATTCATCCTCATTTTTCCCATAACGATTGTTGATACATATGAAATGATATCATCCTTATCATCTCTATCGAACTGCAGTACCCTCCTGTCCAGGTGGCGGCGCTGCTGAACCCACAGAAGGGTGGAGCGCGGTGTGGAGGAGAGGTGGAGCCCGCTGAAGTTGGGCAGACATGTCGGCGGGCAGCAGGCTGATGAGAGCCGTCAGGGTGACGGAGTTCGGAGCTCCGTCGGTGCTCAGACTCCGCGCGGACGTCGCAGTCCCGCAGCCCGGAAACAGACAGGTGAGACGCCGCGACGGAAGCCGAGCGGGTCCACAGCACGCGGTCACCAGTGAACCGCAATAACCTCGCTGTGTGTGAGCAGTATCGCGAAGCATAACGTTACATCAGAAATGGCATTTCACTTATAACGGATTCAAATGTCAAATGTTTGATCACTTTTGTAATACATGTTTCAAACTGGGAAGTAAAGGACCCCCAAAAAACACAATACTCTATTGACAGATAACTGTCATACTTTAGTGCAAAGTCCTTGAATGTAACTGATTACGATGGAAACATACATTGTTCTACATTTAAACTATCTATAATCATCTAGCTACTCCTATGAAATCACTATACTCACATACTTGGCTGCTTGTCCCTTAGAAGCCTTACTGATGTTGTAAAGTAAATCAACCTTGAACACATCAAATTAATGTGTAACTTGTCTTTAGACTTTCCTGCTAATCATTTGTCTCTGGTGTCCGTCTGGTAGGCGCACGTTTCCAGTCGTGAGTGTGTCATGTAGATCCAATTAAACTGGGGAAATGTGCGTTTCACTTCTCATGTCTCCAAAATCCTTCTTTGGATGAACATCTATCCATCTACTGCTCTGGCCACGGCGTCTCTCTCCGCTGCAGGTGTTGATCCGTGTGCATGCCTGCGGAGTGAACCCTGTGGAAACGTACATCCGGGCAGGGACGTACGCCCGTAAGCCCCCCCTGCCGTACACACCGGGCACAGACGTAGCCGGAGTGGTGGAAACTGTTGGAGAAGGAGTGACCACAGTAAAGGTCAGACACCACAAACGCCACCAGAACTAGCGGTGGCCAATCAGAGTCAACCGGATCCACAGCGTTAATGCTTTCTGACAGAATACAACCACAGCAAATGTATTCCGTGTGTGTGTGTGTGTGTGGTCCAGGCAGGAGACCGCGTGTTCACCACAGCCACGGAGTCCGGGGGCTACGCGGAGTACGCGGTGGCAGCCGACCAGTGTGTCCACAAGCTGCCCGACGCTTTACACTTCAGCCAGGGCGCAGCCATGGGCGTCCCCTACTTCACCGCCTACAGGGCTCTGGTTCACAAGTGAGACCTCGGCTCAGCCTGCAGTCTTTCATATCTGGGGCGCTTTGGTGCAGGGAATTGATTTGATTATAAGCTGCACCGAGTGGTTACTGGAGAGAGGACGGCTTCAGTCCAGCACGTGGACAAAAAGATTAGTGAATGAAGATAATTAAGAAGATGATCACCGTCACCTACGAATTCAGAAGCACAAGTTACCTAACTTTACGTTACAGTGAATGACGTTATGCAAATATGCAACGACAGTGTGCACTGTGGTTCAGGGTTTCGCGTCGTAACCAGCTTCCACTTTTAAAATGTAAACAGCAAGTCTTTATGGGTCAAGTGGGAAGTCAGAGGGCAGTTAGGAAAATAAACGACTTCCACTTGACTGTGTTTTTACTGACGTGTGTTGCAGAGCTCGCGCCAAAGCTGGAGAGACCGTCCTCATCCATGGAGCCAGTGGCGGGGTGCTGATTTTGCTTTCTTCTAACTAATTTCTTTTTTAATTTATATATATATATATATATATATATATGCTTTTCCCCCCACACGCTTATTGTTTAGGTGTCTACATGTTTGTTTAGGTGGGCGTGGCAGCGTGCCAGCTGTCCCGTGCTCTGGGTCTAAAGGTTTTAGGGACGGCGGGGACGCCGGAGGGCCTGAAGCTGGCCCTCAGCAACGGAGCTCACCTGGCTTTCAATCACAGAGAAGAGGGCTACACAGACAGAATCATGGTACACACACACACACACACGCACGCACGCACGCACGCACGCAGGAACACAGGTAGGGAAGGAACTAGTCACTCGTAAAGCTCACCAAGCGCTTAACCTTTCAATCACCTTTTTATACTTAATTTCTCAATAATGGAGAAAAGATAATGTTTTAGTGGTGGTTAAAGATGTGTGTGTGTGTGTGTGTGTGTGTGTGTGTGTGTGTGTTCTCTCCAGGAAGCCACACAGGGTGGAGGCATCGATGTGATAGTAGAGATGCTGTCAAACGTCAACCTCAGTGCAGATCTCCAGATGTTGGCTTTGGGAGGACGTGTTATGGTCAGTATCACAAAGTCCAAATTCCTAAGAAAGGAAAAGTCCTCCTCCTTGGACACTTCCCCATGGTGCTATTTGTAAGTCTAGATTGGCTGCAGAGACACCAAAATAATCTAGATTGATAAATTGCAACACGGGTGAGAATGAAAATGAGTATTTTTTATTTAAGGTTCAGCTGTCCTTGAGATCAGCACAACAATACTTTCCACTAAGGAAGTGAGATCCAGCTGAAGCAACGGGTGACATCATGTTTTGTTAATACTATGTGATGAGTTGGCAGTGAACGAGGCATCAAATATTCACAAATGAGATGAAATCGTGTTTAGACTCTCGAGTCCCTGAGACGTCCCCTCCAACTTGATCCTGACATGTGTCCCTGTCGTGCTTCCTCACACGGCCCCGTCCCTCTTTCTCCTCCGTACTAGATCGTCGGCTGCAGAGGCTCGGTGCAGATCAACCCCAGAGACACCATGGCTAAGGAGAGCAGCATCATGGGAGTGGCCCTTTTCTTTGCTACGCCGGTACGACGCAGAGGCATCGCGCAGGCCGCCCTGATAGCACGCTGGGATCGTTAACAGGAGTGTTCCTCTTCCTCCTCTTTCAGGAGGAGAACGAGGAGTGTGCAGCGCTGCTCTACGCCGGGATGGAAGCTGGTTGGCTGCGTCCGGTCGTCGGCTCCCAGTATCCGCTCGCCGAGGCCGCACAGGCCCACCACGACATCATCCAGTGCGCTGGTGCTGCTGGGAAGACGGTCCTGATCATGTGATCGTAGCGCAGCTTTGAATAATGGGGAAAGAGTCCTGACAGAAGAAGATGGTTAACATCAATAAAATAAATCCATCCAAAAAAAGCCTTTTTTAACTCTCTTTGTGATAAACACTATTGACATTTGGGATGAAAGGAAGACGATGAAAGGAGAACAGTGAAATGCTCACATGAGAGGACACCTCTCAGGTGACAGGCGGCTCTACTGAGCATGCTCCGGAGAGAGGCAGGTAACTTAAGACACACACTGTATCTGCTACAGCGCTGTAGCAACCGGGAGACGATGGCGATCCCAGTTTAAGTCGCCCAACAGCCCTCAGATGATTCTTATGGATTCAGAAATGACGATGGAGGGTTCCATGGCGCCTGCAGCAGAGGACCTCTGGGTTCTGTACAACAGGTGAGCAGCTCGTGGTGGGTTTCCAAACGATCCTGCAGTCTGATCAGGATTTCTTTGCTTTAGGTGTGTGTATGTATAGTAGATGCTCAGAAAACAACCAAATCAAGAAACAGTGTTGTGGTGCTCTTTGATACATTGGAGGTGTAATACATATTTCTCGCATGTTTGCTGGGGATCAGTCGGCTCGGATGAGGTTGTAGTTTTTGATTGGACAAACGTCTAAAGAATAAATTAAAATAAATGTTTAAATGAAATGTGTCATAGATGGTGGGACATGTCTGAGACACCCTGTGTATCACACAGTATGAAGATACGCATCACATGGTCCTTTTTCATTTGCTGACTCAACTGACGAGGATTGACGAGCAGAGGTCTGAAAGGAAACTTATTGGAGGACACTGGAATGAATGGACAATTTTGTGTGGTATTATGCACCACAAAAACATAGTTTAATATTGGTATCACCATCAGGTGTGTAATATATTTTCAAACTGTCACTTTTTCTCAATACCTTGAATATTCCAGTTGAACTGATCTGAGGTGTCGTCTAGCTGAACCGGCCCACTTTGTTTCTTGGCGAGTCTTTCCCCGTGTACTTAGTAGAGACGGTTGGTTAAGGTTAGGCCTTGACCTTGAGCAGAGGTCAGCAGAGAGCCCATTGGTCAGGGCATCAGTGCCCGGGGTAGCATGGACGCCAGGCAACACCACGCGCGTGAATGGCGCACAGGACGGGTCTGGCCAAGAAGAGCACCGGGATTCACAATGACAATGAAGCACAGTCAACGACCGCTTGGGAGGAGCGATTGATAACGTGCGAGTGTTTAGCGTGAAGCTGCATCCCTCATTTCTGACCACTAGGAGGCAGATGCTAACCTTCTATGAGCTAAACGTGTTAGCAAGCAACGGCTAACCTACGTTTCAATCAGACACATTAGCAGGTATTTAAAGTTGTGCTCCCGCCCAACAGAGAAAGGCCAATTCCACCTTGACTTTCAAACTGTTTGCTAACTTTCTATCCTTTGGAGTTGAGGTTCAGCAGGTAGTGCAGAAGTTTGTGGCTGATTGTGCTTTTCTATTCAGAGTTGTCGAGGACGTTACACTCCCGCACACATTCACAGGTTCCTCGCTGACAGGCACCAAAAAGCAGCATAAATAACAAAGAGATGCAAACAACTGCAAAGAAACACAAACCCACCAAATAGATGCAAAATGGCCATATTTGGTTCAATTAAATTTTCCAGATTATTACTTCAAAGGCTTAATGGTTTACTAGGTCTGAGTGCAAGCTACTGATTTCCACTCCGTCATGCTCTGTTCTCTGGTCATTCACGTCCAAATCTGTTCATCAACCTTCAGTTTGTGGATTTAATGCAAACATTAGCTGCTGTTGTGGATTTCTTTCAAAAGAGGAAAAGAGTGAAACCTGATAGGCCTCCTTCAGCTTCAAAGAGTGGCGCCATCCATCAGTCTGCGTCCTCGGGGGACACCACGTTTGTTTGCCTAGCAACAGTGAACACGTGTCAAATGACGGACATCACGCTCCGTTCCTGTCAATCTTTGTGTAATGTCCCATGACATTTATTTAACAACACACTGACAAGTGTGCTGTTCAAAGTGGATCGTCTCTTTCTACGCAAAATGATGAGACAGTGCAGTAGGATAAATGGGAAATACCATTGTGTAACCCCTTGCTTGCAACAGTGAGAGAAGAAGAGTTTTTAGTGAAGACAAATGATGTTGCCGTTTCCAGCCTGACGGGCTGTAGAGGAGTGTTAAGTTCTTTAAGCTTCACTTTATTTAACATTCTGCAGCTGTTTAACAGAACAGCTAAGGAGCGTTAATACTTTATGCATCAAGTTAATTGCATCCCAGCAGCTATCATTGAGGGTAAGGGTTTCCTGGTATGTGGGACCACCATTCCATCAGCTTCTATGCATTGAAAGGTTAACTTTTCATGAAAACAGGCCAAACTAGGGGCTGTATCGAGTCCATTCAGCTTTGGCTCAGCGGGAAAGAAAGTTGGCTTTATGGCTGCAATCCAAGTCAATAACAATGTAAAGATTGCAAAGATTGAATCAAATGGTACAGTGTGTTTAGCGACAGGGCTAGCAAGCTATTCGGCTCATTTTCCCCAAATAAACCAAGTCAATCGGCGTCACATATTAGGGCGTTTACCATATAGTTTACCGTATTTGGGGATAATGTGAATTCATCTGCAGGCCCTTTCCTGCTGTCGCTACTGTCAGACATCAGAGCCTGTGTCCCTTGTCCCGTCATGCCCTGCTTCCTGTGTGGTTTGCTCTGAAGATGCCATCATCTGTCACAGACTGCCTTGCATTATTGGTAAAACAAACACACACATAAACAGAGAAAGGTAAAAGTCATTTTATTACATTTAAAGACGTCATGTGCTCACAGGAATGTACTGTATGGGTTCACTGTGTGTGTGACCAGATGCTCCAGACACAACCCAGACACTGCTGCTGACAGAAGGCTCCATATCCGCAGTGCAGCCTGCTTCACTCTCTAACCTCAGCAACGTTAAGGTCATAGGGCAGTAAGTACCTACCCGAGTTTGTATATTTATATGTACCTGCACAAATGTGTATCATTTAGCCATTATACTGTTTAGGAAGCAAAGAGTATATGAACGACAAGGAAGGGAAACACAATACACAGTAGCTTTAAAATGTTGAACTAGAGATATGTCCGTCAATCTTCCAGGTCTGAGTCACCACCTGATATCAGCACTGGGGAAACAGTCCTTCAAAATTTCTGCCGTTCCTCCACAACTTACTGCTGGACCACAACCTTCTGGCCAGCCAGGCCCTACAGGGAGGAGTTCTGACCAATCTAACCCGACTAGAGGTGCTCGCCTGGGACACAACCTCATCGGCATGGTGGGAACCGCCTCAGGGGACACATAAAGCTGGAGGACGTATTTTTTTATTTGAATAAACTGGGTGATCCAGTGGATGGGGAGAAAGTCTATTGTCACAGTTGTAATGACAAGTTCAGCTTCTTGAAATGAGAGAGGACTACATGGACCTACAAATACAACTAGGTATTTCATGTCTCAACATGATGTTGATGTTCAGATCCATGGTGGCTGGCTCAAAGGTAGCAAGGCCCCGAGGAGTCTGAAGCTAGAGGGGAACCTGCTCACCAGTTTGGACTCTGGTTTCTTTCCCCTGAATGATCTCAGAGGTCTGGAGAGACTGGATCTGTCAGAAAATCTGATAGATCATCTGCATAGAAACAGGTTAGTATTTAGTTAGTTAGTTAGTATTTTTCACACTTTGCTTTTTTAAACTTTATTGCAAGAGCACATTTTCCAATAATTTACGTATTATAGCATTAGATGTATTTATGAATATTCGATGTATTTATGACCCAGTAAATATCCGGTTTTGTGATCCTAGTTTTGTTGGGTTGGTGAGACTGCAGACTCTGGATCTGTCCAGAAACCGTCTGGTTCTGTGGCACTTGCGCCCCTGCTGAGGCTTTTTCCTTTCTCAGTTGGCTGACAAACCTCAACCTGGAGCTCAACTCGTGGAACTGCTCCTGTCAGCTGCTGGACCTGGCTGCCTTCCTGACCACCTTCATACAACAGCCCGACAAGGTGCATGACGTCTTCAACCTTAAAACAGAGCAGAATCATCTTTTATTTGGGGACTGCAAACTATGACTCCAGGAGTTCTGAGGTAGAATAAAACACAATGTGTAATTTTGATGATACAGGTGAAATGAAATATAAGCAATTAAAAGAGATTCCTCTCAACACTGATCAGTTTAGCAGCTTACTGATTCAGCTTATTTCTCTCATTTAAATGATGATGACATGCCTACTTTACTCAAACCTTACACCTCTGCTCCCCGCTGTACTCAGACCCTTTATAATGGCCATAGGATGGTGTGTGTGAGCGCCGACAACTCGGCGGTAACCACGGTGCTGGAGCTGACCAACCAGCTGGCCAACTGTGTCCCGTCCAATCAGAACATCACAGTGCGGATAGACGCACAAGGCAGCGTGACCCCTCAACGCTACGCTCAAGATCTGGCCATCACTGCAGTCATCTGCTTCATCGGTACGGATGATACACAAAACAGTTACAGGAATCATTTGATTTGTTAAGTTTAGCTGTAGCACAGCAAAGAAAACCATAATTTAACTGGATACCCGTCAGCAGAAATCCTGGAAAACAATGCAAACACAGATTTTACATTTGGATTTCATTGAAAAAGAATAAAAAACATTTTCAATGCATTATCTTTAGCTGCTCAGAGGTACTGCACAGAGGTACTGCTCAGAGGTACTGCACAGAGGTACTGCTCAGAGGTACTGCACAAAGGTACTGCACAGAGGTACTGCACAAAGGTACTGCTCAAAGGTACTGCACAGAGGTACTGCTCAAAGGTACTGCTCAGAGGTACTGCACAAAGGTACTGCACAGAGGTACTGCTCAGAGGTACTGCACAAAGGTACCGCTCAAAGGTACTGCTCAGAGGTACTGCTCAAAGGTACTGCTCAGGGGCTCCCAGTATAAAACAGTAGTTTGCAGTTGCTGTTACAACTTGTGACTTTAATATTGGCTTATTTAAGGCCAACAAACATATTGTTTCCAATAACTGCATTATATTATATTTCATTTGTAACCAAGCTGGTTGGATATCTAGCAAGGATGCTAACTGGTAACAGTTAGTTTACAAAAAAGCAGCCCGTTGACATAGCTAACTTGCTAGCCACCAATTAGCAATCACTCTAACTTGGTCACTTAATGAGCTTGTGTCTTACTATGTACTCCAAACTATGAAACATGCTTGTGTGGACCTATAGTCTTGTTAGGAGCGGCTATGTGGCGTTAGACGCTGGGATACAATAAATAGGACTGAGGCAATATCTCTGTGTCTTTGCTGTGCTCTAAGAGAGTAATTCTCTGGATATCTATTTGAATGTCAAACCCGCTACACGGCACCTTCATGTATATTTGTTTAGATGAATATAAAAATTGTACCCGTCCTGCCGTTCTTCAGGTGGTGTGTGCTTGACCCTGCTGGCAGTCCTCATCGTCTATCAAGTGTTTCGGAGTAAGAAACTGAAAGAAAGTAAAAGACAGCAAGAAGAAGAGAGAAGCAGCACCGTGGAGAATCACCGTGCCGATCACAGAGATGTTGGGGCAAAGAGGATGGACCTCTTGTGGCAGGCACATAGAATCCAGCCTTGGGACAGGGAGGCCATGATGATAGATGCATGGACAGAGGGCCACAGTGGCCAGTTTGAGTCCAGAACTGGCCACGGCGACGGGCATTTTAGGTGTCCAGACTGCAGCACCCAAGGACAGAGAGGGATGGGCCCAAAACCGATGAGATGCAACGACAGGACACGCGGAAAGATGGAGACGGACGAGGAAAGCGAGACAAGGGGAATGAGGAGGATACTGATGGAAGAAAAGAGGAGGCTTGAGCAGGGAATAATAGGCAGGGACCTTCAGGACGAGGTTCTTCCACGATGTAACGTCAACTCTTCCTCACGTCCACGTAAAGAAACCATTGCCCAGAGAGCAGAGGCCCTGGCTCATAAGACAAACATAGAAATTGAGGAGAGCCACAGGACCCACATGGAAGGTAGGAGCAGAGAACATGAGATGTTACCCTGTGAGAGCTGCCACAGGATGAACAGACCTCCAGAGCAGAACAGAGGACAAGGAAGGATTCATTTTGAAGGCGTCCATCCTCAGTACGGACAGATTGGCAGGGTTAGGAATGTTAACCACAACAAGTATGACACAAAGAACACAGGATTGAGGAGAGAAAATAGAAATGTAACGTTTGACCTGGAGAGTTCAAGCAGCCCGAGACGCAAGTACAAGAGGGAGGGGGAAGTGAGGAGCTCCCGAGAAAAGGAGAGAGGAAAGAGGCATAAAGCTGAAGTCCAGTCAAGCCGGCCACCGAAGGTTAAACTGAACTTGAACCCACTAGGAAAGATCCAAGTCCATCCTAAAAAGACAACCAAGCTGGGACACTCAGAGGAAGTCAGCTCAAAGAAGAGTAAAGACAAAAGGCAGGATGCAGAATACAGAGGAGAGAGGGAAGCAATAGGAAAGTCTGGTAAGAAAACCAAGGAGAAAACCTTGAACAAAGGACCGAATGAGGATCATGAGGAAGAGAACAAAGCTGAAGACACAGAAGGAGGCCAGGAAAGTAAAGCGTCCTTTGAGCAGGAAAACGGGGGGCAGAGAAGTATAGAGGACTCCCATCGTGACGATACAGCTAACGCTGCTGACCCATCAGCCTTTGGACAAGGACAGATGTTGCAGGACGGGAGTATTCAGTTTCAGGGAGCTGGAATGGTTTTGGGGAGTGCCCAGCTTTCCTCGCAGCATCCCTTATCCATCTCTCACAACCTCTCCCTCCTTGGCTCGACAAGCTCTCAACCAACTAGCAGCAGTCTCTTCCTTCAAGGAGGGAATTTCCTTGTCCCGGGATCGCTGTTCCCCACTGGTCCAGCTAAATCCGTTGGTCCTATAGCAATCAGTGGGCCAAACATGGCTCCATGTGACATGACTTTGCAAGCAAGTGAAATCCAAAACTCACCTCTTCCTACCTCCCATGCTGCAGGACTGCCCTTGAGTTTAAACCCGTCTGTTGACCCTGCACATGTGCAGTCCCTCTCGCAGAGCAAGCCCCCTCCGGACAGCTCTCCTCTTGTAGCAAGTTGGAAGCCTGATCCAGTCCCGGCATCAGGCTTTTCCACTGGGGTAGGAGTACGTCACAATCTCCCAACTCAGGCCTCTTTAAGTGGGGATGGTTTGTCCGCAGTGACCCCTCAGGCTCCTGGACCAGTGACTACAGTGGAGAATCTGTCAAACAACAACAGTCAGACAGAGACTGAGGGAGTGCATGCTGGTCCCACAGTCCTGTCAGCTGCCGCCCTTCCTGAAGGACCTGCTGCACAGTTGTCAGGAGGCAGTATGCAGGGAGCAGATGTGTCTGAATCAGGTGTCTCTGCACCCAGCGTGTCCACACAGAGCGTGTCCTCCACCGGGGACGCAGCAGCTGCACTGCTGCAGCAGGAGTACCTGTCAGAGGAAGGTGGATCCTCCCCAAGGAGGAAGCTGAGGCTGGTGCTTCCTGAGAAGACGTTGAGCCGACCACCCACCGCTCTGGAGAGAAAGATACGCTAGCGGCTCTTGTCATGTTGTTGTGGACTGGAAGGGTCAGAAGAAGCATTCGTTCAAGTCATCTAAGATAGTTCAAGTTCACATGAAGAGAGGAGTGGGGTGGATGCTGTCATACGTTGTAAATATGTTGAACACTAAATGAGTGTTCCAGAGATTTATTTAGGAGTTGTATTTTTGTAATTATAAACCATAAGTAAAAAGGTTGGTGTTATTTTTGAGTTTCAGAGTTCATTTTTGACCTTTTTTAACAAAATGTCCATTAATCTTTCAACCGCTGCACAGTTTGCTCAGTTATCATTGATTCAGAGAAGCTCAATTTTCTTTGCATTTAAGTTTCACTAAAAAGTTATTTTGGACTTTTTAATGCAATTCTTGATCTTAAAGAAAGCTATTGACTAAACAATCTTACCTCCAGGTATATTTAGTAGCTTTTGTGGGGCTGTTTGCACTGTAAAGTTCCAGCTCTAGGACTCCATGAAGAGCAAGTGATAAGCTCAAAGCTCAAAGTTGTCTAATGGGATGTTTTGTCTGCAAGGTCACCAGTTGCCATGTTGAATTTAAAATGTAGCACCTTTAAGTATGTAGTGCGATTCAGTAACTTCACCGACATCACATCACTTTCATTTTCTAATTACTGAACACAAGATACTGAGACAAAATTAAAAAAACAGCGGTGACGTCACTGACACCCCAGTGATCGGGGCAGCCCATGGACCTGAGCACTACAGTAACAGAGGCTGCAGGGACTCACACCTCACACCTCCAGGCTGATTCTGTGTGTCACTGCTGGATTGGGTTTTGTTTCGTTGGCACCAGGACGGTTGTTTGCAGCAGGTTGGGTTTCACTGGTCACACTGCCGACCTCTAAACGCGGCCTGCAGGTGGATCGGTTTACACTTCCCGAAGGTGCCATGTCAAGAGTGCTGCTAATTTGCCAAGATGAGAAACAACATTTTACAAAAGCCTTGTGGCTTTTCAATGCAAAGTGCGCTTACACAGGAAAGGAGGGCGTGCTCTTCCTTTCTGTGCCATAAGAAATCCAGCCGCTCACTCAGCCAAAGTTGACAACCATTAATTAATCTATCAATAATTTATTGATGCTAAAATACTCCAAGCAACTACTTAAACCTGTATTAATATACAGTATTTTCTTTATCCAACTGCAGGAAGCTGAGGTAGCTTTAAAGCAGACCTCGTCACCTTAAACAGGTCAGCAGGTTAAGCTTCTCCGCTACGCACCAAGCAGACACGTCATTCGTTCAGGTACGTTTCTCATAGGCTCCTGAGGGAATAAAATCTGCTCCACTATGTTCACGGGATAGTTTGATGCCTGGGCAGGTCGCAATGGCTTCATCAGGACCTTTAGCTGTAAACAACTAGCTGCTTAAAAAGAGGCAGATTCTAAACGATACAGTGAAGTTGTGTTGTAGGCCGTCTGCCACGAAATCCAGGGCTCCCAAATCTCAATTGGGGTTTTGACCCTCAGTGTACCTTTATTTGGTAGCTATCCAGGCATTAGAGGCCATGGCTTATACACACCTGACCATCAGTGAAGGTCTATCCAGGTCCTGCTTCAGCATTCACTTCATCTCTCCAGTTTAAATGGTTAAAAAATGACTCTACACTTTTTTACACTAAAATCCGGTGACAGGATAAGGGACAGTTGTCATTTAGCCCAAAGTCAAATTGAAAGGACATGTATGGACAGGAAGTAGCTGCAGCCCTCCCGTGCGGCCCGGCAGGGGGCAGTGTGTCCTCACTGAAGGCCGCCTGTTCCACAGCGGTGCGCTTCATGGCGGACAGAAGGGAAATGACACTTTCTGGACACAAAATGCAACCAACCCAATGAGCTTAATCACATTATTTCACAAAGAAATTCATTTATTTAAAGGCGGATTTGAAGGAGAACGGAATCAAAACTGTTGGTATGTCACAATGTTGAAATTATTTAGCCTCCTCCCCAGAAAAAGACAGAAACATGTCCCATATTGTGTAGAGCTTCAGGATCCCCTGAACAAATTACGGACTACGGACAGCGAGTATGAGAATAGGGTTGTTACTAAAGAGCAGCAGCCTGAACTGACTGACCCCCCCTCCTCTCCCCCAATGTGGGCTTGTTGCTTCTGATGGATGAAAATACTGCACTTGAGATGTATACACGAGTCTCTCATGTAGTCCAATAAACGGTTTCAGCTCCCTTTTGGTCTCCACCAACTCGTGAGGATAAGTGAACCAAATCGACCTCTGGGGGGGTTCAGTCTGCACCGACCAGCCGACGTCTCCCTCTCCTGCACAGCGGCACGGCTCACGTGGCCAACAAACTTGTTTTGACAATAGATTAAAAATACATATTTTCTGGAACTTCAGACATTTGTTCTGCAATTACAGCAGAGCTGATTTGCATACACGCAAAGGCCGGGACCCAAAGGTCTTACGGAGATAAAAGTTTGCATTATTATGTGGCGTCATTAGAGCTGCTGTCACAAACCACTCGGAAACAAAGGAGGAGAAAAGGCAGGTTTGGAGTAATGACTGCACATCAATGCAGCGCTGACTTTATTCTCAAACACATTATTAGAATCTAAAAATAAGAAAATCTTCATGGTTGTTGTTGCCCAGAGTCCTTTCATCTGCCAAAAAAAACACATTAATACAAAGAGATACAGAGCAGAGAGAGAAATGCGTCCCTCATCATCATTAACACTAAAACAAAACTTGTATTTGATTATAAAAACAACAATAAAACACAGCCAACCCAGCAACAGTTATAGTTTCTTATTAAATAGCCTCTGTGCACAGAGAAATAGAGATGACATAGAGACCGTGCGCCCCAACCAACCTTCTCATTAACACTTCACTCACACACTCGCACGCAGTTTGGATCCGAATCAATATCACCAACGGACATATGCCGGGAGGAGGAGCTGTCAGCGGCCAAAGGACTATTTTCGTTTCTTTTCTCCCCCCAACAAAGAATTGTTTGACATTTCGTTGTCTCAAGGACTAAAATACAATGAATTTGTAGCGTCGCTGCGAGAACAATGAAAGCTCTTAAATCGCACACAATTAAAGCGCTGCGAGTTCAGTGCGTGTGGGACTTGAGTCCATCCGGCATCATCTCACAGTCTATTACAGGAAGTGAAGAACAGTTTGTGGAGGATTTGGTTACTTATTGTTTGCGTGCTGTGTTCCCTTTGGTCGCAGAAGGAGACATCAGATCAAAAGAAAAAGAAAATAATGAGTCAATTGGCTTTAAATCGACAGCTCAAACCTTTATGTTACAGTAATTTACACTTGGCTCCTCAGAGCTTTTTGGAGCTGACAGTAAACGGCGTCTTTACCAAATGAAGAACTAGATAAGGGGTTTCATTTGTTTAGGGAGGACAGGATATTAGACAGAACGTCCCTTTGTGAGGAGTATGTACACCTATGGTCGTGGTTCACAGCACACCGCCTCTCCGCGCTGGGATACACAACTTCAATTCAAAGCATAGCAATCGGTCCAGACAATCGGTAGAAAAAAATAGAGCCAGAAACCCGGTACGACCGGCCGTGGGACATGCAGGGACCGGAAACTTTTTGCAGCAGAAAAGTCCCCTTCTGCTGCTCAGGCTTCTGGTTGGAGCGCTGAACTCGGGTGTAGCTCGCGTGTCGGTGGGTGAGTCCTCCGTGGCGGGTCAGGCTTGTCGTGTGTTCCTCGGCGTGGAAGATTTGCCGTCATCTTGTCCTGAGATTAGCTCAGATAGAGAGGTTTGTCCCTCTGCAGGCCGCTGCTGGAGGAGAGAAAACACTCGGTGAGGTCACAGGAACCCGACACCGCACCACAGGTCACCACAGTCCATCGCGCCCTTCAGGGGCAGCTGGGAAGCAGCCCACTCTCAATCAAAGTATCAGAGAGCCTGCTTGACCCAGCACGTACCGATGGGTGTGGCCAGAAATGTAACCGCCCCCAATAGTGATGTCACAGTGTCGTTGGCTACAGCTGCACCTAACTGTGGCAATGCGTGAAGAAGGGCAGCGAAAACGTCATTTTACTCTTCAAAGACCCTAAAACCCTACCCGTTGCCATGGTAATCGTTGCTCCAGTCCAGAGAGGGGTGGTGGTTGGGCGCGTGTCGACCAAGCTGATGGTAGTCCACTGATGATGACATCATCCCTCCGCCGTTAAGCATTCCTCCCCCTATTTGCTGGTAGTCAGACTGGAGGGATGGATGGTAGCCCTGGAATTATAACAAAAAGCACTTGGTGTATAAAAGGTGCCTCATTAAATAACGTAACCCTTTTACATAGAAGATGTTTCCTGGTTTTGGGAGGTTGAACCTTGAGGCTGAAGTGCCTGCAGAGCAGCTCTATACGGTACTGCTGAGCATTTTCCACGGCTAAGAACACATGCAGGTCTCATGCGGTGGTTTCGGAGCACCAGGGTCCCTTTTGAAAACCTTTCATTAAATTGCCGTATACAGACGGCCCCTCCCAGTGCTGGTTCTGGTTCCTTAATGTCTCCCTCCCCTCCGGCGGGTCCAGCACTACGTCCTGGGTCTCCAGCGCTCTGCTGCTGGAGGAGGAGACGCTGTCCTTGTCCCTCCGGAGCTCCCACTGCAGGTCAAAGGCTGCAGGGAAGTGGAACTGGGTCGGTGCAGGTGGACCCGCTGGAGTCTGAGCTGAAGGAGGTTCTGGTGATGTTCACATCTGACTTGAGCAGACTCCAGTGAGAAGAACATTGAAGACATGAACAATCCTGTCGCTGGAGGGCTTCTTTTCTGATGTTGTACATCAAACTATTGATTTCTGCCCCTGGAACTATTTTGCTTCAGTAAGCTTCCGCCTGTCAGTCTCCCGGGAACTGATGTGGTCTGAGGACAGAACCCACGTTCTCAGTGAGGGTTAGCTCGAACTATGCGTGAGACTCAGAGTGACATATATTTATGCTCTTTACCTCCTAATCCAATCACGAATAATCAATAACTTCAGCCCTTTCTTGAGAAATCCCATCTTTTGAACTTCTGCTCAGTAAAAGTAACCCAGTGATAGTAGCCTGAACATCCATCACCACACGGCCGAGAAGAAGAGTCAGGAGGACCTTAGAAACTCCTTTCAGCTCTTTAGTAATGGTTTAAGGTTTTACGTTGGTCAGAAGTGGTTGAAAGCTGAGATTGTCTGCATTGGTGGCAGTGCAGGAGCAGGTTTGAACGTGAGATCCATCATAGTGACAGTAGGTGTCCTCACGTCCTCCTGCACCCTCACACAGTCCACGACTGAACCCCCCCATCCCTCAGCCGACGGTGTCCTATCAAACCAACCGCTGAATAAAGACCACCTTCTGAAGACCATGAGGTAATGAGGAGACGGACATCAGTCATGGGTTCATCAGCAGTAATTACACAGAATGTGGGGGTCGGAGGGGAGATGGGGAGGGGGGGGGGTGTAGAGGAGATGAGAAGGTAAGAGGAGAGCAGGAAGAAGGAGAGGAGGAGGAAAAGTTGGCAAGCATGTCTCTAACCATAAGATACTCGAGGGAGGAGAGGGACATGGAGAGGGAGAGAAAAACCAGGGAGTGCTGTGTGTGTGTGTGTGTGTGTGTGTGTGTATGTGACAGAGAGACACACACACCCGCACACGCACACACCCGGGGAGAGAGAGAGGCTGAAAGGGAAGTTAATCTGAGTGAAAGAGGAGAAAGAGGAGGACAGCAGGTGGTTGGGTTCTCCCCCCTCTCCTCCTCTACCTCACCTATTCATCCATTGTCGAGCAAATTCTTCTCCTTCACTCCTTCACAAAGACCCCATCTGCCTCCTTTGTCTCTCCCCCTCCCTCGCTTTCTCCCTTCCCCCATCATTTCTCACTCTTCACTCATCGGAAAGAAAAAAAACTTTCGGTCTGTGTCACTGTGTCCTCTCTCCCTTTTCTCTCTTTTTCCACTTTTGTCGGCTCTCTCTTTTTATTGCAAAAAATATGCAAAAGCATGGAGGATGGAGAGAGCGAGGGGGGATTATGGAGTGTGGGATTTAAAAGTGCACTATAAAGCCAAGGATAATATGAGACCGAGCAGCAATCCATCGCCCCATTTTTGTCTCTCCGGAGGAGACAGCCGCTCGTCCTCCTCGTCTCCTGTTTGCAGTCAGAGTGTATCGACTGATACAGGTACGCTGAAAGCTAGAAGTAGGTCCTAATGGAAGCTATTGGGCTCCCTCTTTGATTTCTACAGGCGAGAAACAGAGGTCCACTGATCCGACTGGATGATGATGAGGATTAATAGAGTTATGTTCAGGTCTGCTCAGGCTGCACTCCTCAAGGAAATGCTGACGCGTCCTCTCCTCCTCGAGCCCCCATCTCATGTACACTGTGCGTGTCTCCTCGGCTGATATATTCATCCATCTCCATTCTCTCTGCAGCTTTATAAGCAGCCAGATGCTGTTACCTCAAGGAAATAGGAAGGCTGACTTGTGTGTGTGTGTGTGTGTGTGTGAGATGGTTTTGTGGTCATAGAGGAACGTACTGAGGAAACACAACATGTGTCCTGATTCCAAAGTCCAATTTAAAAATGAGGTGTACTCAAAAGAACAGATGGCTGACTTTTGAGTGAGCTGATTGAGGAAAGGGTGAGAAAACATCACTAAGGGTGGATCGAGATCTAAAGATCTGCATGTTTCATATCGTCACCTAAATAATCCCATAAGAACACAAAGCTCTATTGGCAGCTCATCATCCGTTGCCCCCGGTGACAAGTTCCCTCAGTGCCGTGAACACATTGACACACACAATTCGCAGGAGAAAATAGTCCCCCATAGAAATAAATACATCAATTGGGAAGAGTCAACAGTTGTTGACAACAATCAAGATTGAGACTGACCTGTGGGATGCCAGGCGAGTGCGCCATTCCAAGCGAGTGTCCACTCAGCTGCTGGTGGTGCTGGTGGTGCTGGTGCTGGTGGTGCTGGTGGTGTGGACTGTGCAGCCCCCCCAGGTGTGCCTGGCTGTGGAGAGGAGGGCTGACCTGGAGAGGAGGAGGGGACGCTGCCGCCATGCCACCCAGGGACAGAACTCCCTGGTGGGGGACGCTGGGCCGCGGCACGGTGCCCCTTGAGGACAGAGCCTGGAGCTGGGGGTGGATCTGGGAGTGAGGTGGGGGCAGGTGCGGGCTGAGGCCGGGGCTGGAGGCGTGGGAAGGGTGCGACGGGTGAGGGTACGGCATGTACATGCTCGGGTGCTGATGGGGGTGGGGAGGGAGGGAGTGCGGGTGGGCCATTGAACCGGAGTGACCGGGGTACACCGAGGATTTAGAGGTAAACATTGAGGAGGAGGGAGGGGTGGAGGAAGGGTGGGGGGGCTTCATTTCAGAGGGATCGTTGTAGCTCTGGAGAACGAGAAAAGGACAGAAAGTCAGTTTGCAGGTTCCACAGTCGAATGCCAAGAACGTGTGTGTTTGTGTGTGTTTGTGTGTGTGTGTGTGTGTGTGTACCTGTGACACCAGACTGGCTCTGTAGGCAGCCAGTTGTTCAGATACTCCTTCTTGGCCGTCTCTGTCCTCTTCTTGTACAGCTGAAACAAAGGATGATATTGCATTAAATGAGTGAATGGCTTTAGTCACAGCATCCCCATCAGCTTACACAAGGATGGAACCAGACAAAACTACTAACAAACTGTACTTGTAAGGCCACTTATCTATAGCAAATTGCAAATTGGCTCAGCTAAATGTAATGTAATGAAATGTACTACAACTTCAGGTCAGGCGGCAGTGTTTGGTTGTCTCAGTTGTTTTCAGTCAGAAAGGCTGTGTAGCTCCCAATGCGATGATACGGACAGGCTAACGCAGAGATGGAGGACCTACCTGTTTCTCCACCTCTCCCAGCCCGTCCCACATGGACGCCACGATCTTTGACACCTCCCCAAAGGTGGCGTTGGGGTTCTGGGCCTTGATGTTGGCTTGTGTGTCCCTGAAGAACAAGGCGTAGGCGGACACCGGCTTCACCGGCTCATTGGGGTCCTTTCGCTTCTTCTTCTTTGGTGTTTTGGGCTTCTTGGCGATGTCCACTGCCGCTGGCCTCTTCTCTCCACTGACCAGCTGTGCGGAGAAGAAGGCCGGTGAGTGACCACCACTACGTTAAGGGATGAAGACACTGATGCGCAGACGGATGGGTTCAGTCCTGGAGCACAAATGCATGATTTGTACACGACCAGTCAAAAGCATTCAATTCAATGAAAAAGTGTGTGTGTGTATTGGTGCTGTATGACAAGCTGAAACAGCGCCTGGGAAGTTACTGTAGTCGGGAGCAGTTAACATGGCAGTGAGAGATGTGCAGGACGGGTCCCCTCTCAGCGCACTACTCAGTGACGACATACGACACCAGTAATACACATGTCACTTGGATGTTCGGCACACTTCTCTGGGAACACAACCCGTGTGTGAGGGGAAGGACACATTCTCACGTTCTTACATGACTTGTGGTTTGATGTCGAGCTCCTCAGCAGTCAGCAGAGAAGCACAACCTGTGTGTAGGCCTGATCTGTGTGTGTGTGTGTGTGTGTGTGTCAGTCAGTAGAAATATTCCAGGTGCTCACAGTCAAACGCTGTGTATGAAGTGTATGCGTAACCCTCACCACATGCGTGAGATCTCGTGATGATTTCAGATACACGGTGTGATTACGAGCTAATTACAAATCAAATACCACTTCATTAGCCAGTAACGAATCCCAATTAGTAAAGATAATTAATGAGCAGTTCAGCTGACCAAGTTATGATATACGATTGACTAAATATGAAGAATAACCGTTCTCTCTGAAATGACTGGACAGCGTTTGGAAGAGGAAGCTGGCTTTGGATCTCTATGGAAATACGCCAGAGTTGATTCAGGCTCCTGTGACTCGCTACAGCTAGACACCCCTGTCCCCAGAGCACTGTGACATGCACATTCTCCTCAGTTTCACCTGTGTGTGCTCGTCATGTGCATAGCGTGTGGACTGCCCTCACCCGTGTTTCCCTGCAGCCAGCTGCAGCAGCTCCAGCCTCTTACGCTTTAGAGCGTTACCACATCCTAGGATCAGCGACCTTCTGTACGGCTCGACCCGTAACACCTTGGTATTACTGAGAACCGCGTGTTCCCCGACGGGGACATTCAACAAAGACTGACTCCTGTATCTATGTTACCACGTAAGCAACTGTGCTGTCATTGTGCTGTATTTATTTCCTGATGTCCGTGCCGATTCAGTAGAGGAGCAGCACAGCTCTTATTCCCCACATGACCCAGCACGCACTGTAACATCACATGACTGTCATCTGTGTTGATTGAAATAACGGTTGAAGTCGGGTGCCAATAGTTGTGGGACGTAACGTTCATCCAACGAGCCCCTCCCACGTTTCAGAGCCACAAGAGACAAATACAAATATGTCTCACGCTAGATGAACTGTAACTGTAGCTTTGGCTTCTTGAGAATCTCATCATGTGTAGAGATAAGCTGATGAAATATTAGTCAATGTTTGAAAGGTGCGATTCAAAAATATGAATGTTGTAGTGATTGCAAAATCAACATGAGTGATCTGCATGATCTCAACCAGCCATTCCTCCATACTTGACCAATGAGGATGGTGCAGAGTGCAGATGTCAGTCAGCAGCACAGTGATGCTTTCATTTCCCCACAATATCAACAGTCGCTTCGGTTTCACATCTAGAGCTGATTTGCATTTAGCAGATATGTAGAGAAAACAGCTTTATCATACAAACTATCCGCTGTGTGTGTGTGTGTATATATACATACATTTTGTTTTACTGTATTGACATTATTTTTAATTTGTTAAAGGCCTACAACTCATATCTCCTCAGAGCGATGTGTTTGTGTGTTTGTTGTACTTTTGTTGTCTTTTCTGTGTTCGGTGGCAGTTTGTCACAGTAAAGCATCTGAATGTAACACCCTGTGGATCCGGACCATGTTGTACTTTTTTGTCTGGAGTATTTGTAAAATTATCAAATTTGTAAAACCAAGAAAAGCAGTCGGGACTCTGAGTGTGTGTGTGTGTGTGTGTGTGTGTGTGTGTGTGTGTGTGATTTCTTACCCTGAGTCCCTCCTCATTGTCGTCCTCGTGGGCTGAACTGGAGGGAGACGGCGTGGCCGACTTACTTCCAGGGGGGGAGGGAGAGTTATGGGGGACAGAGTTCCCACTCAGCCCCAGCTGGGACTGGTTGATGGTGGACAACTGGCTTTTCTGGCTTAAGCCCGATTGGCTCCTTGGTCCGAGAGCCGCCTCGATTGGCTGCTGGCTGCTGGTGAAGCGGGAGTCAGAGTTCACCATCTGCTGCATCTGTGCAACGAGTTTGTAAATGAAAGAAAAGATCACGAGTCATTTGGAGTTTGATTACGTGTCAACGTCTAAAATGTCCTTTCCTTAGTTCCACTTGGCCTTTAATCAGCCCGGTGATGCAGTTATCTATTCCATACAGGAGTAAAATCCACTGCAGTCGTATGAGTTCAAGATTCAGAATAACAGCGAGTGTTTTTTTCTTTCCGTCTTGGTCCACTAAAGAGACAACATGCACCTCTTTGCGCAGTGACGGGAGGCGTAGCTGGTCCTACCCCCGTCTCTCAGGTTCTGACCTTCCACGTGACCTTCATGTTGCGTCCAATTGAAACAGCATCTGAGCCGAGCTAACTGACACGCGTGAAACCAGCGAAGCAGCACCAGCATTCTGCCCTGATTCTGACAGCTTGGTCTCACCCTTTTTCCATCGCTGCTGTTCTCCATGTTCTGTCCTCCGCTGTTGCCATGACGTCGCTTGTTTGGGAGCCACAACAAAGCAGTGTATGGATCTTAGCTGTCATTTAGAGTGTCATTTCCTATTCCCGATCAGGTCCCACTGGAAGCCCTGACCTCACCCTTTCCACATGAACATCTGTGAGGGTAATTGTACAAGAAGATGTTGATAAACTTGAGTATCGGCGTATTATGTTTTAATGTTGTTTCCATTCAAAGATTACGTCTTATTCTGAATCTGTGGTTTTCTAAAATCCAATTGTAAAACCTGCTCAGTCTTCGGTTCCCCGTAGTAGTCCGAACCCTGTGACCCGGCCCCCCATTTTCATGTTCAGCAGGTAAAGAGCCACATCTCTGCTCAGAGTGGGAAGGAGTCAGTACGCTACACCACCATAACCACTTCATGGATCTGGACCGGCCGGCGAGCACGGTGCTGAGATTGTTAGTGACATCATGAGCTGGCTTGGGATCATGGGAGTTGGTGCAGTGATACACGCATGTCCCACGCTGTTCGGTGGAAGCGGGACGTCCCGGGGGCCTGCGGGCTGAGCTGTCGTCGGCTTGTTTCTCTGATTGCTTCAGATCCAGACGACGGATGAGTCATTGCAAACATCTGGGATAATGTGAGTGCACAACTCAACGGCTTACAGAGGAGAGGTCGTTTTCATAGGGAAAAGTGTCGGTTTGCCAACACGTTCGTACGACATAACTTGATGTTATGACAATGGCTTCAGGCTTTGTCCCACATTCACTGAACAGAAGGCGGGCTGAAACACTATCTCAGCTACACAACTTGTTTACGTGACAGCCAGCTGGGATCGGAAACAGCTTGTCCCGTGTTCAGCGGCCTGGGATTCACTATTAATGAAATCTGATAGTAACCGTGGCAACAGGCATTACAGGTCAGGGAGGAGACGAGATCAGAAGTCAATGAGATCAATTCACGCTGGCGTGTAAATACACTGAGCTCCCGTTGCTCCGTCCTTCCGCCCGGAGGAGACGGGTCGGAGACAAACACACTCCGCTTTATTTCCCCCCTGGCCTCCGTCATTTGTCCCAAAGCGACGCACTGCTGGAGATGAAGTGGCCAGACGGTTTTACGGGCGCGCCGTGCCATGAACGCACAATGCTCCTTCACAGCGAGAGACGACCAAATCTCACGTGAGACACAAAAGGTCAATGAATATGTACACAATGAAAGTGAAGGGTGTCGTGCGCACAATGTTCCTCCATCTCAAAGTTCCACGTCAGGTCACAGTGCCGTTTCTGAAGCTTTGGCTTTGATTTGTGTGGAGTCTTTCTGAAGGCTCAGCATTGTGCGCGTAGCTCCAGTCTTTTAAACACAATGGAGCAACCAGGGAGCTACTTCTCAATGTCGAGTTAGGAGATACTTAGTTTTGTACTCATCCCAAATGGATTATTTTATTATGTGAGGTCTGCACCTCGGCGTATTGACCGCCTCCACCATTTATTCTCCAAACTATTCTCAACTACACGTGCCAAGCATTCATCTCGTTATGTTCACGTGCATCTCAACCTGTTTGAAAACATTCTTCATATATACCGTTTTGGAATTGTTGGCTTTTTGTGCCATGATGTGATGTTTGTGATTCACTTTTCCTTTGGCCAGAGATAGAGACATTAAAGGTATTTCTGGTCTAAATATGAAGCCACACAGTATAAATGTGACTCATCAGCGAGTCTCTGTCCACTTCTCAGGAAAACGAAAGCTAAACCAGAAGGGTTTACACCCTCGGCATGGGGACTGGTGACGACCGGGCTCGGTTGATGATGCGCATCGAGAGTTTCCTCTCGGTAAGCATCAAATAACAGCGGATGTGGCGCGGCCCTCTCGGGGAACGCGCCACCTGAGCTCGGGTACCGAACCCTGTGGTGCTCAGATGGAACAGCGAGTGACATTTGTCTAACGCGGGGAGAGCTTCCGGATCGACGCCCGCCGGCAGAAAGTAATAGCTGCGGTTAGGCGTTGTTGTTAAATGTCGTGATAGGAACAATTCTCCTGAGAGCTTTGACTTCTAGTTATATCTATTTGTCAGTAACCCATAAAGGTTAAAGGGGAACAAGCTGAGCGGTCGATGATGCATTGATGCATAAGAAAAATACTTGAAAACAACAACCTTTGATTTTTGGCAATTTTCCATTAGTTTTCCATTATATTTGATTTGTATCGTATGTATTTTATGATAACCTGCATGGCTCAGGGTGTCCAATTGATTATTTAAATTTTAAAAAATGTTTTCTTGGCAAAAGTGAGTCAAAGCAAAAGGCTGGTAAGACATTTGAAGGAGGTCGCAAGGTCGCTCAACAACTTAAAACCTACGAAAAAATGTACAGTGGAAACAAAACTAATGATCAGCTTTTCCTTTGGTGCGGGGGGGACGGGGGGTCGGATAAACAACAGGCCAAAGAGAACAGAGGGAAAGCCCCTGATGCAGGCGGGCCGAGTGATGACACCCGAAGGGGAAAGAGTCTCCGCGTAGGTGTGGCTGATGAATGGATTTCACTGTAACATTCTCAATCGGTTCTTGATTTCAGTCTGCAAAATCATCTTTTCTTTACACTCATGAGTGGGTTTGAAAAGTTGACTCCTAATAGTAGATGCTTATCTTTTTGTGAGAGTGGAGCCTGTCATGACTCTGGTGCTGGTGTGGTCACTTTGACTGGCATCTCAGTTATGCAACATATTTTGTGCCTCAAAATATTGTATTGAGTTTTCATTATAATAAAGAGTTGGCTGTTGATACTTTAAGTTAAGTGTTTGGTTCTTTGAGAGAAAAGCGGTGGTGCACCTTACTAGCTAGTGTCCCCCTTGTAACTAGATAACTGTGACACACACACAGGTCAGGTCTACACACAGGTTGTGTGTAGCCGCTCATGTGCTTTTCTGCTGATTGGGGTAGACAACCTGGCCTTTTTCATCCATTCTTGCTCCAAATAGAGCAAGATGGCGACGGCCAGAATGTGTTTGGAATGGACCTCTGAAGCCTGAAGTTTTATTTATTATTAATGAGAAATCTCTAATAATAATTGCATCGTTTTGTATTAATTTCTGCATCACATTATTGACAAATAGCCCCATATAGTGTGATATCTAGAAATATAATTGAGAGCCAAGACTTCATATATACAGAAGCATACTTGTGTGGTGCTGCTCGTAGCCCATGGCAACGAGTCACTTCATCTTCTAACTGCTGTGTGTGTATTACTGTGTATAGCAGGTGTGTTTAGATGAGAAAAGGTCCGGTAAAAGGACTAAAGGTTGAGCCCCCTTTGGGTTGCATCCATGAACCAGGTAACAACACCTTCTGAGCACCACCAGAGAGCTCCGTAAGCTCTTCATGTTAGACTTTGACCTTCATTCTGATGGCCGTGAAGAATGAGCCTCTTTCTTGAATAACACACACACACACACTCACTCTTTCAGACACATTCACTTGAATCTCTCTAACGCCCCCCCCTCCATTAAGCTGAGCCAGGCACGGTTGCTAGCAAACCATCATTCATGGCCTGGCAGTAAATGAATCTTACAATGAGACTATAAAGCCGAGGTAGAGAAGTATAGATGGAGAATAAGATCTTTCCTTCGGCCCATTTAATCATTATCTCCCTATTAACCGACGGGTTAGTCACAATTAAAGACAACTTCTACCAACGGTCTATGGTATTTCATGGTCTTCCAGTTCCACCCGGGTTGAGAGCTTCATCTTTTGTAGCTATACGCTTTTGTCCCAACAGATACCAGATTAGAAGTGCGCCAAAGGAGACTAGATAGGTTAGAGAGTGCTGGTTTGCAGGTAACATTGCTTACCAACGGGCGATGTGTATCTCGGGACACAGACATAGACACATACACACTCACAGACACACACACACACACACACACACACACACACAGACAGACAGACATATGCCTTTGTCACCCCAGTGAACACGTCTCTATGACGGTTAAAGTAACAACAGGTCTGTGAAGGTGAGGCTCTCATTTCTGTAGTGTGAGTCACAGCTCAGAGCAGGACTTTCACTTTACTGGGAAATGAAGACTTAAATATGAGGGAAATGCCGTGATTTAAATAGCCCTGCTGCAGGCAATAGCCCCCTTCAACCTGTTTGAACTGAAAGAACATAGCGGAAATGTATCAGCTGCATTCTAAAGACTGCTGAGAGTTGCAATTTTCTGCCAGTAAGTAAAGTATCTCTGGACGAGGCACAATGAGCCATTTAAAGTATCCAGCGCGGCACAGAACACAGAGCAAAGTATGTTTGTGACAAACTGTCATTCTTGAGCTCATCTTTGGGAAACAAACACTTAGAGGAAGGGTTGGTAATCTTGAGAAAAACAAATGAAGACGCCAGATTAAGTCGTCCAAAAGATAAACGCTTCCAATCAAAGCAGCAAACAGAACAGTAGTAATCGCTGGTCCGTGTGCTGAGAGGTGGAATACAGGCAGGAATTCAAGTCAAAGTAGTGAAACTAAGAAACGTCCTGATCATACGCATCAGAGGGTTTCAGAAAACAGACATTCCAGAGAAAATATGGAAAAATCAAGAGATACATTTAATACCAGATATTATTCATAAGCCCCAATCAGTGTATGCTGTACACTGACCACCTCTATGCAGGAGAAAATGACTAATAAACACATAAGAAATGATGTTAGGGGCTTTTATTGTCAATGTTGAAACCAGAACCGAGTTCTGCGTCTTAGTCGGACGGAGCAGAACTGCAGCACGACCCAACTTGTTCTCAACAACGTGATTGGTTCATTTATTCATGGGGCTGAAGCTGAAAAATGCGTGAATATTCCAGGGATGTTTGTGTGAAAGGGAGAAGGGTCTCATTGGAAAGTACTATTGGACGCACGCGTGGGGGAAAGCAGGGCGCTCGTCTACAGGAGGCAATGCCTCCTGCCCGCTGTTCCCTCGTTCTAAACCAGACAATCATTTATAAGTGGCATCGTTTATGAGCACTCACCACCGACAGGGTGCTGGTCATCGGACCCCCATCCGGACTGAAGGTGCGCCCAGCTGGGTTCAGCATGGTGGCCCCGTCGGGCAGATCCAGGCCCTGCAGCTGGTAGGGGTGGGGCTGAGCGGAGCTGGAGGGGCCGTCCAGAGGGTGGTACGGTCCGGAGCGGGAATCGTGTGGTAGGTGGGGGGGCAGCATGTGGTCCGGCAGGGTGGGGGGAGTGATGGGCGGGATGTTGAAGTCCTCGTCGCCCAAACCGCCCATTGAGTAGGACTGAAGAGACACGGCAAAGAGAGACAATGCAATTACAGGCACCTGAGGAGGAAGACTCACCGATTGGACAGAGACAAGTGGCATCGATAAGAATTACATGGAGGACTCAGAGAGACCAAAGGGACAGTCAGAGATAATAGATGGAACAGATGCAAACTGCCCCCCCCCAAAGAGGACTCGGACTCCCCACCTGCCGCCTCCCCTCTGCTCCCCCCCCTCTTTGCCTGAGAGCCTCCCCTGCTGGCCCTCGTCTTCCCTTTCAGGTGGGGGACCTTAAAGCCCCCCCCTCCTCCATATCTTCCTCACTGTCCGAGATTCCACCTCGGACAGCACCCGCACCAACGAGCCCCCCCCCCCGAACTCCTTCACCTTCCTGTTGGACCTCCATCCCCTCTTTCACTCCGTCACACACAAGACCTGCCCGCGGACCACCACGCCGCTCGCCACCACCTCGCGCGCCTTCTCCACGCTGTCCACAAAGATGACCACCGACCCCCCCACCCTAACCCTAACCCTAACCCCAGAAACAAAAGTCACATTCACACCACCACACACACCAGAAAAACACTGCAAATGAACGAAATAACAGATAGAAGACACTATCAAACAATTCACCCCACGCTCCTTCACTCAGAGAGAGAGAGGGAGAGAGAGAGAGAGAGAGGGAGAGAGTCAGTGCGAGAGGAGCCCTCTCACACTAATCTGACAGAGGAGATCTTTTATGGAGACTGACAGCCTTTTCTGCTCTGCTGGCCACACCGGTGTCTCCCTCTCCTTCTCTTTGGCTCTCCATCTCTCTCCATCTTCTCCTTCCAGCCCTCTTTAGCCCGCTCGCTCTTCTCCCCTCATCCCCAATTTCCCTTTCATCTCTCTCTCTCTCTTCCACTCTGTGACCCAGAATGCGGCGGAGAGTTATGAGTTGCGTGACTTGTGAGCTGAGCGATGAGTTAGGAGCTCAGCATGCGATGCGTGAGCTCATTCTCTTATTTTTTGCCTCTTTAACATAAAATGCAGGCAACAGAAAATATGCGATATGATCACAGCCTGCACCCCAAGCACATAAAGAAGCTTCCATATCATCTCCCTTTCCATTGTGGATTCACATGCATCTATTTCTGGCAGGCAGCGTTTCCCTCCTTTAGTGCTTCCACAATAGGAAGGAGACCGAGAGTGACAGTACACTTGGAACGCAGGCGATGTCTCAGCAGTACACACTTTAACACTAATCCTACAACCAGGAGCCACATACGCACTCACACACTTAGTTTGAAGGACAGGTGTGGTGATGTTCTCCGTCTTGTGATCGGATGGAACCATCGACCGCATACAGAGGTGGAGGTAGTCGTAGCCGTTTTAGAGCCTCACGTTTGGCTTTTTTGCAACCAGTTAGCAAAGGTTCCCGTAATAAGACTGCGAATGAGTGTGACAGAGAATACAGTTCTTGTAGCGTACCTTTCAATCATAGTGTAGCCCCGCCCTAACGCACCCCTTTCTTTATTTGACTCTACATGGACCATCGTGTACGAGATGAACGAGTTATTCTTCATAGAGGTCTATGGGACCAGAGGAGTCGCCCCCTGGTGGTCACCAGCGAGAAAGACGATTTTAGGACACAGGAACATTTACTTGAACACATTTGAATTTCTGTGGGATTTTTTCTTTTTGCTACTTTTCCTCCCTGTAGTTTTAGTAAGAATACAGCTGGTCCTTTTGCTAACCCCTCTGCTGCAAAGGCGCTAACACATCTCAGTCTTACAGGAGAAGTGATGTTTGAGGTGCCACCAACAAATTGTATTTTGGGCTCGGTGGTACGTGGAGGTGGCGACATATGAACAGGTTGCTGCTGCTTTATTAATCCTAGAGGGAAATTGCATGTTTGAGTTTTCTGTTGGTGTGGGGACGGAGGCCGCGGTTTGGGATTGTATATCAGATCTCTGCCTGCATTCTGGAATGTGTTGGTTCATGCAGTTAATTTGGAGCTACTGTGAATAATTACCCGGAGCACAACATGTAAAGTCCATTAATCTGCGACTGAAGGTAGTCCCCAACAAATGAGATGTAGTTGCTTAAAAAGGAGAAAAGACCCCACAATGTTCAGCTGTTTGAGGAAATAACTGAGCCCTTTTTCAATTAAAAAAAAGAAAAAGCCATTTTAACCAGCAGGATTGCATCTAAGTTTGTTAAAAAATAAGAAATAACATCAGCTGGCTCTTTACGTAACTACACACTACACTTAATAAACTGAACTACTAAGGAGCAGTCCAGCCGTTTAGTGCCACACTTCCTGAGAGAAGCAAAAGGTTCAGACGTCACAGACATCTTCAATATGGATCAAGTCTAAACACTGAATCTGCAGCTCAATAGCACCTTCTGTATTCTCTGCGACTAATAAACTGCCTTTGCCATGTGGATTCGGTGGTGTGATTAAAGGGACGTGGAACAGACTTTAGGACAGCTTCTCCGTGTCCCTGTTGTCCTCCTGCAGGCTCTAATGTATGATAGTGTTTCACAGAACGCATCCGGGTGCTGTGTGCCCACTGTGGGTAGCCCACCCATCATCAGCATCATCAGCATCACCAGGGCTGCAAGTGCACAGACTGCTGCAGCAGGGTGCGTTTCATTTAGCACGTCTCACAGATTAACCCCAATATGTCTCATTGTCATAAACTACAGAATACTTAATCACTGATAAAATCTCTATGTTGAAGTGTAAGAACTGCTGAAGTAATACCACCGGAACATTTCACAATAAAAGCGACCAATCGAATGTTTGTAGTCTGCATTGCTGTCTGCTGAATTCCAAGTACAACTAAGTGACGAATAATTGAGCTAATAAGCTCAATTTGAACCGTACCATTCAAGCCAAGTTAAAAAAACCCTTTCCTTTTCAGATGGTGAGGTTGAAGAAGTGCATTCTGGGATTATCAGATGGAGCTGTTTATTGTTCTGTCACCCGGCTGAAGTTGTTCAACCCCACTGAGCCGTGTGCACGTTATCCTCATGCTTACTTCATGCCGTCCTCACCTCACCGTCGCTCAGCGCTGTGCATGAAACACACTCTCTCCCCCTCCACCACCCTCTCTACCATTTCTTAAGCTTCTGAACAAATGACTCTCTCTCTCTTCCATTCATACCAGTACAATAGTCTGTTCCCTGTGCGCTGGGAGCTTCTACAGTGACTAATGTAGTCAGGATTAAGGTCCTTTCACACATGTTGTGTTCACATTACACACTTCGCACAACCTTATGTTCATGACCGTTTCAGACAATACAAAAAAGTATCACTGTTGGACAACGTGTGACCATCACGGTGATTTAATGTCTCTTTAGGGGCCGGTATATCCAACAGTCTTCACATTAGATTGGATTAGAAATGAATAACATGTACATTAATTTACTCCAGTAGTGGTGAATGTGATTATTTCAATACCAGCTGGGTAGTAAAGTCTGTGTGCTTAAACAGCTGTAAATCAGCATGTCGCTGAGCACAAGGCCTTTGTGGAGAACCTGTGCCTGTTCGTCTGATGTTTGCATGGATTCTACCCAATGAAAAGTATCAAGGATAACTTTATTTCATTTCAGTACATCTTGTTGTGTAAAATAATTTTGATTTCTATTTGTTTATGATGCAGATGTGCGGGTGAGAGCTGGTGGGGGCCTCATGTATCACCCACTGCCACACCTAGTGCACATGCCGGGGGCCACGCTTAGGGACATATATGCCATTGTACTGTGATTGGAGCTTGGGACTTCTGCTCGCACCAGCTCAGACGTGCACTACGCTGATCTCAGCTCGGATTTGTAAAAACGTCATCGAACAACCACAAAATCTGCGGGCCGTCTGACACCAGGCCGCAGGAAAAATAGAAAAAAAAGTCTGCCAAGTCTTGCCTGATATGAAATTGTTCCATGAGGCAAAAAAGGTGGGGGACCCGTGATGGAAGTGCTTGTAAAACAAGGTCAGGGGGCGTGTACACTACTCAGTCAGTATCAGATCAGTTGTAGAAACGTCAGGGAAGTAGAGCGCACAAACACATCCAGGGCCCTGCAGGGGGGCCTGAAGTACAACTCGTCTCCCGACACTTTGAAGGTGCATCACGTGGACTCAAATTGAGGCCACGGCGGTTATTTAGTCTCCTGATTAATAACAGCTGTTGCTTTTGGATGTAACATGAGTTTGTGACTCATAACATGAGTGTCGCCTCATATTTCTTCTAAAAAGCCTGCAGCCTTTTTAAATGTTGGTTTAGGATGGATTGAAGAAGAATATTACATTTACGGATTTTAAATGCGATTCAAGCAATCTTTTTTCATTCTAACTTTTGGACTTTACGACGCCGTTACTGGCGTTTACATTGATAAAAGCCGAATGACAAAAAACAAAAACAAAGAACGATTCTGTTCCCCCGATTAAAACAATCAATAGAAGTTTCAAATCATCAAACAAAGTCATAAAATCCTCTGATGGATAAGAGTGTGAGTGTGTGCTGTGTGTGTGTGTGTGTGTGTGTGTGTGTGTGTGTGTGTGTGTGTGCATTTACCCAGGGCAGGCGGTGTGAGTCGGCCATGTGTGTGTCCCTCCTCCAGTGATGGGAGGGCTGGTTGGGGGGCGTCACCTTGCCCAGAGGGTGAGGGGGCTGTGGCACACGAAACTGTGGGAAGAATAACAAAAACCAACAGCGGTTCAAATGGACGCCAGGGCCAGGGGAGGGTCAAAGGTCAAATGAAAAGGTCACAGAGCGGAGCAAAGAGAGAGACAGATTCTAGCCCTCGCGTGCACACACACACACACAGAAGGACTCCCACGCACACGTCAAAATGATATTCTATCTTTATTGTTGGCTGATGTTGCTTTTAGCAGCAACAACTGAGCGGAGTTGACTGAAAGAAACAGCGAGGAGTGAAAGGAGAATCGGAGGCTCTTTAGAGAAGCGTCGAGATAAGAGGGAGAGCCGGTGAATACATTGCTTGTTCATTCGCTCCACAGCTAATCCCTGATAAGAAAAGCTTACACGGAGGACTGTACAGCTGCAATGAAGAAAGACAAACACACGTAACACACACACACACACGTCGTAGCGAGCTCAGATTCAAAGTATAGTGATCACTTCACACGCATCAGCATCCAAAGTCACACTTGGAATCCTCCCTCTATGAACAAGTGATTAAAGGAAACATTTTGTGTGGTGAATCGTATACAATGATCAACACTACTCTCGTATCTGTCCGTTACAATCCCAGAGACACTGTTGCCAGCCGCTGGTAACCTGCTGCTAACCCTAAACCAGTAAACAAGTACTGGTGTTATGGGCCAATCCAAAAGCCCCTAAGAGCACTTTGTCAGCCATAAGAAGATTAAAGACCCCAATGTCCTCCAAGGCTTTTTATGGACCCAAAGAGATCAAAGGAGCGACAAAATCCCTTTAATAATCCAACCTTAGAATGACTGGAGACATAAACATTTTGATTACATGAAATCCATATGTCTCTTTCTCATTATGTAGAGGCGCTCTCGTAAAATGGTCGCTGAAGCGAAGGGCCAAAGTAAGACAACACCAGTGAATCCGAGACATCAATGGGTGCTAACAAGCTGTGGATATGATCCGTCCTGGCAGCGCTCCGTTGGGCCTCTCTGCTGCTCCAGGCTGAGACCAGCAGCATCACACGCTGCCCTGCATCACCTACTCAAGACACAGCGGCGAGAGTGACGGGTCCGACTGGACTAAAGTGGCTCACGCTCATCTCAACAACCTGTGACTTCATGGAAGCAACGCTACGAATACTACAGACACACATTTCCATTCCACCCAGCGCTCCGTACCCGTCCTCTTATGGCACAGCAACATGAATAAAACATCCAAACATGGACGCCTGCCCCGCACAATGTTCTCTGCACTGTACTCCATGAATAATGCATCTGTGAGGGTCTTTTCTTTGCTGCGCGGCGAGGTAACTCTGCTCAGTGTTTGCTGCATAGCCGTGTTCAGGGACGGTCGCTCAGGAATCTAAAGACAGCTGATCTTTAATGCCACGGTCACGGCGCTGAGGTGACGTAACGCGACAGCTGTGCAAACACCATAAACCTTGATCGCTCACTCATTGCAACGGACACAATGTCCTCTGGTGGCAGCTCCCACCGCGTGTCCCCTCTCTACCCGTCTCAGCCCGTCTCAGGACGTCCACCTGTCAGCAATAACCATGGACTCAGTTGTAAACTCATGTATCCATCCGACGATCAGCTTTGTAACGTCTGCTAACATTTAATGACAGTGTCTCTGTTCATGGTGTGGGAATGAAGGCAAATGAGGAGGAGGAATTGTTTGGGTTATATGACGGAGGAGGGAGGTGCTCTATTGCCAGTGTGTGTGTGTGTGTGTGTGTGTGTGTGTGTGTGTGTGTGTGTGTGTGTGTGTGTGTGTGTGTGTGTGTGTGTGTGTGTTGAAGAGAGGGGGGGCTACTGGTAAAGGGAGACAGAATGTTTTACTGTCATTGACTTTATGGTCATTTGGTGTCTGTGTGAGTTGGATGGTTCAGATATGTGGCCAGAAATAAAAACAGAAAACAGACATAAAAAGACAAATCAAACTTGTAATTGCGATTCATCGCATTTTGTGCAGTTAGGGTATTGAGCACTTTTATTTATGCAAACACTTCAAACTATATAATTCATTTTAACATCCGTATTCCCTTCACACAGTAGCAGTTCAAATATTTATTTTAAATCTGAACTTAATCATTAATGTAATCAAATCAAATATGAAAGCAAATCTGTTTGCGACTTTGATCTGGATTTGTATAGAAAAACAAGTTACCCTCCCTGATCACGGCATTAAACAGACAAGCTAACATTCATAAATCAGTTTTCTTTGTTTGTCTATCCAGCCGTCAGTAGTCTACGTCCAGCAGCACTACGGACACAGCTGGGATTCACCGAGGACTGCATGTCCTTTGGAGCATCTCCCAGAAAAGAAGACAAACACACTTTCAGTGATGCAGGTTATTAATAACTGTGGTTCAATCAACTCCAACGTCTGGCAGAGAAGTGCTGTGAATGGTTGAGACCGTCTGTGTGTGTATTCAGAGCCAGTTAACAGGAAGTGAGTCAGCATGTTTGCACTTCCTGTTCCCTCCTTAACTTCCATAGAGGGGTTTTTCCACAATTATCCCAAAATCCAATAGAAGCTTTTTTGTTTGAAGGTTTGTTGTCGAGGGAACCAGCGCGATGCCGACTTCCTGTTGGCTACAGAAAGACGTGGTCGCTGCTGTCTGTGCATCGTAGCACTTGGCGCCATGTCAGAAATATGACAGAAAATATGTATTAAAGAAGTTCCAATTTGCATTTGAATAAGATAACATTAAATAAGTTTGTTGACAGAGCTTTGTGCACAGAGTGAGAAGCATCATGTCTCACTTATTGGCCTCTAAAACACCACATATTAATGAATTATTAAGTTTTTAACAAACCCAGATTGAATCGGTCAAGTCAATGATTACATGGTTCAGCGTTTGATTACTGCCTTTCCTCAAGGCAAATAACGCTACATTTTTTCAGTTTTTAAAGCACACTAATTGCAATTCCGGCATCCCAAACAAAACAAATACTTTGAAAGGCGACTTGCGTTACGAATCCTCAGCACACCGCGTGGTCGTGCCACACGGACCATCAACGCAGTGCTTCCTGGGCTTCAGGTCCAATGCAGTAAGTGATATCGTGGTGCAGGGGTTAGAGAAGGTGTGCTGGGAAGCACAAGGTTGGTGGTTCGATTCCAGGCTGCCCCATGTTCCATGTCGAAGTGTCCCTGAGCAAGACACCTAACCCCTAATTGCTCCCCGGGCAAAAATGTGAAAAAGCCACGGGTTTAATGTAAGTGTAGAGTCGCTTTGGATAAAAGCGTCTGCTAAATGACCTGTTATGTAATGTAATGATATCGATTTGTGGAAAAGGATGGGAGGAAAAGTTGCAAATAACTGTGACGACTGAAATAGCTAAAGGGGAACTCAAAGACACGCCGATAAACACCGTCTGTAAAATAATACTGTTAATTCACTGTAAATTAATCTCCACATAATGTCAGCGCTTCTTTCTCTCTGGTCCAGTAATATTCAGCTGGTGGATTTTAAGGACAAGTCAAAATGACATTATTCATCACTGTCAGAAACGTTTACTGTTACAGAAAATATTTCAAATATCTAATGGTCCTTGAACTGGTGAGAGAACGCTCGGGAAGAAAAGACTCATCTGAAGCTGAAAATGGTTCGTGTCTCATTTCAATAAAAAACATGGTCTGTAAAAAACCTTCACGAGACATAAACTCAGTGAGATTCGTCTGCGCTGCTGAGCAGAGAGGACGGAGGAGAGAAATGCTTCCATACGTTGAGCGTGTCAAGCCTTCATTTCGCTTCTGATATTAGTAACACTGGAAAAATGACGTGCGGACAAGAATCCTCGGGCTGCGTTTCATTATAAGGGTTTTGCATTGGTTGGTTACTTATATGGCAAAGCTCAGAGAGCTGTTTGAGGACTCTTCATCAGAAGGTCCAATTGTCAAGTAGAACAAAGCCTGTGACGGTAGGATGGAGATGGATCAACGTTTATTGAGCCCTCAGTGTATCACTGGTTCTACTCCAGCACCGTGGCATAATTAATAGCTGAAGCCTAACAGATATTGGGAAACCATTAAGCCACAATGGACTATTAGCTAGTGGACAATATTGATGTCCTTTACTTAAGCTGTAAAACCAGCCAAGAGTGAAAAATGGATTTGACATGCGTGATTGAATGTGATGATTGCTTGATAATTAACGGAATATTCACTTAATGCACATCTGGCATGCATCTGTTTTTAGTTGCATTCAGACATGTTAGCATCTCCACTTGTGTAAAAGATGCCAAATGTAACAACACTTTAGTTTTACAAGTAGTTCAATTGAGGAAATCTCAGAGTGCGATTAGTAATCAGGAGAAAGGACCCTGACTCCCACACACACGCACACAGACACACACCAACCTGATTGGTCGAGGCATAGTCAAGGACTTGCTCCGGCATACCCAGGAACATGGTGTCTCCGTCCAGCTGGAGAGAACAAAAGAACACAACAGCGACAGTGTCAATAAACTGCAATCAGACAACCGGCCGGCCAGGAGACAATAAGGAGATGTAGGTGAGTGATTAAGGGGCGGCGCCCGCAGACAAGATAAGTCCGCTGTCTGCACGCCGTCTCCTTGAGACGTAGAACACCCTGCTAGTGGCTGCTGGAGCTCCAGCTCCTCTTCTGCCTCAGCGTAGTGCACAGATACAGCGATGGTACAGAAGCTCAGCTGTCAGGATAAACATCACAGGGACACATGGGTGGTGTTTGACCGTCACACTTGTGAGTGGTCAAAGTCCCGATAGGAGGTCATAAATAACATGATGTCATGTACGCCTTAAATGTAAGCAGGTGGCAAAGTACTGCAAGGATCCGTATCCTGAAGCTAAAGTGTTTCCAGAACATTCCACTCACGGTGTGACGGGCGTCCATCAGATCAGACTCTTGTACTATTTACATAGCGTACAATGGATCCTATTAGCATGCAGTATAGACTTTTATATCCTCATTTCCCTCTCTTATCTGCCCTCCTCTTCCTCCCGTGGGCTCCCTTATCTCCTCCTCCATCCACGAGCTGGTGTTTGCCCTACGCCATGTCCGAGGCCCCAGGAGACTGCTGCTGATACTAAAAGCCTGCTACATCGCTGTATGCTCTGCCGTGCTCAGGAACACAGCCGCTAGGTGGCCACTGGCAGCCATTCTGAGAATTTGTCAAACGATTATTGTCTTTTGGTTACTATCATTGGTCCATCATGGTCTTAGGAGATGGTCAAGCTCTTATTGTGATTGATACTGGGTCACTTGAGCGACCCACAATCCAAGATTGAACCCAAAGAGCCAATGTGTCTGACGGAGGTTCAGAGAGACTCAATGTCCACAGGGAGCGAACAGAGGAAAGAGAAACCGCTAGTCAGTGCAGCAGGAGGGGAAGGTGGACACGCGAGCAGATGGCACTGGACTGTAAAAAGAGAGGTCAGCTGCAGTCTCTAGGTCATTTTCCTTCACTGTGTGACTCAGTGAGGGATCTATTGTGTGAAGACCCGGCCCAGCAGGGACAAACACACAACAGCACTCACAGTGGGCGACGTTAATGAACTGTTATGTCTATAAGGGCCATTTAGAGACACTTCCTTGGACTCACCAGCTCGGTGCTTCAGCCCACAGAGACAGTTGATTAATGAACAAAACAGAAAATAATTTCCGGTTGCGCCACCGACGAACCGCAAACCACGGCACAAAATATGTCTGTATAATAACTAATGATTCATGTTACAAATGCATTATTATTATTATTCTTATATCGTTGTTCATGAAATGTGAAGAATAAGCTAAGCTAAAGGCAGTAGTAGGTTTTATGCCTCTTTATGACAATTAAGTTACTAAATTCCCAACAGGAATATTTACTGACCTATTTTACATCTCAATACACAGCTTTTTAAATCCCTTCGGCTTGTTTTAACCACCTTACTTCAGACATCTAACCAAAAAAACATAGACAGGCCAACAGGAAGTGCAGAGTGAGGTTGTGCTGCTCATTCCTGCAGCACTTCTACTGGGCAACAACACAACGACACACTCTGAGAGGTCATGGGTGCATTTTCATTGTCTGGGTTGACAGCAGAACGTTTGAACAGGTGGGTGGAAGCAAGGCGCACACACACACATGCACACACACACACACACACACACTTACAAACACAGGTGGACGGGCAGGTGTAACTGCGCTATCCGTTCGCCAGCTGTTAGGTATTATGCAAATGAGGTGTAGGTTTACAGAGTCAACAGAGAGCTTGTGACAGACATAACACACACACACACACACACACACACATGCACAGTGTTGCTTATGGAATGGCAGTTACACACACACACATGGACAGTGTGTCTGACTGTAAAGAGCAGAGGAAGAGGCACTTGGATGGAAGCCGTCGGGGCTTTTTGGACAAACAGAGGACAGGAAGAGAAGAGCAGACATGCTGACCTTTGACCTCATGGTCAAAGTGGCTTCTTTCATTCAACTCTTCAAAACACCTGTTTGGAACACGTGGAACACACACACACACACATGCACGCATGCACGGACACACACATCTGCGGGAACTGAAAATGAGACGCACACAATAAGCTGAATGTAACACAAAGGCTTTTAGAGCGAACACCAGAGTAACCGTTGTATCGACCCAGTGATTAAATGAGTGATTAGCAGTGGTTAGTTCTTGGACGGTTGCAACCACTTCTTAACATGAAGGCAAACAGGTGCATTAACCAGCCAATCGCGCGCCCCAAAACAAATATTTGGTGCATTAGTGTTTCACAGACAAAGCTTTGAGGCAAAGTATCCCAGCGTCTTTGAGCTGGAAAACTAAACTCACGTGCCAAACGACACTATTCGCAAGATGACGCAGAACTGCGTAGTGTCCTTATTCCTGAAAACATGTCAACGTGAAAGTTGATGCCACTCCTCAAAGTTAGAGTAGATTCCTGCTGTTTGGAGGTGACGGCTTCGGACCCCATACCTGCCCGCTCGTGTGCTGCGTGCATCCACTGGAGCGGTTCTCCCTGCTGCTGCGTAACAGCCCCCCACAGCATGACCTAAGGGGGCGGGGCCAGTGTGACCACCTGGCCCCAATCTGACCAGCATGAAAAAAACATCAGCCTGATGTTGATGCTAAAACAACAGCCACACAAACCTCTTTTTAGAAACACGTTGACATGATACATAAAGTACTAGTAAAAGGTTTGGACAGGTTTTCTCTTTCAATTCAATGAGAGGGTTTCTTTTTTTGACGTTTGATAAATGTGTTTCTAATCAAAGTCAGAATAAGTCTGTGGAGGGCAGAGAAGTGACGGATATTGATCATTGTGTGCGTGATTACAATCTCACTGGCGCCTACACTTAAGCAGTGCACATTTCTTTGAATCTGATTTACATTTAGACATTATGTGGTTAAATAGTCAAACAAATACCACAGGTCAATCTGTACTATACATACAGTATAATGCACACACAACTACAGGTATATGATCCATGATATAAACCATGTGTGATGCGATGGCCGCTGTGCTGCTGCCTCTGTCTAGTTGGTGTGAAACATATCTTGAGGCATGAAATATTATTATATTATATATATATATATATATATATATAAGATCATGTTAGGGACAGATGGCGCTTAGGCATCGTGTGCACGTTCATTTTCCACTTTAAAAATAAAGCATATTATGGAATAAATGCTTTCAACATTTCATTGACTGAAGGATGAATTATTTCAAGGAAAAAGAGCAGATTGGTCGGTAGTGGAGGTGGAAGTCAGCATTAGTTCTAGAAAAAATAAAATCCAGAGACAAGCTGCCTCTAGGTAGATGGTTTGTAGTCAAACTAAATTAGCCCCCCCATGCCTCTCTTACTCTCTCATCTCGGCTGCTTCTATGTGTGTATGTATATGTGTGTGTGTGTGTGTGTGTGTGTGTGTGTGTCTGTATGTGCGTGTTTGTGTGGTTAAAGCAATGGTTTGAATAACAAGCAGCCAGCTAAGTGGGTCAGGGTCGGAGGAAGGGGGGAGGAAGAGGGGGGAGAGACTATTAGGATGACAGACAAGGACAAAGGAAAAGGGAGAAATACAGTGTATGGGGGTAAAAAATGCAGCAGCGTGAGGAGCTGAAGCGGCAGAAGGAGGTTGGAAGAAATGAAATGTAAAGGATAAGATAAGGAGATGGAGAAGGCGGTGCAGAGAGGGAGAGTTTGGGGGAGGCAGGGGGTAAAGTGTGATTCAATACCCGAAATAATAAGCTAATGTCATGTTTAAAAAATCATTCTGCAAGTATACGCAGAGTAAAGTAAATCAGTATTCAATCAGAACATCTATGGAAGACCATCATTTATTAGTGTTGAGATTAGAGGACTTATAGTGTGAACAAAACATCTAAGATACACGTTCAGGTGACCTACTTTTTACTACTTTCTTTATTCATTTGTAGATTTCTCCTAAATTCACCAAAGAAGACCACTAGATGAGGCCTTGTTTGCATATTTAACCCTAACTTCTTACAGGTTGTAACTCTATATGTTATTTCTCAGTGATTCAAAAAGCCCAAATACGTAAGTAATATAATATTATATTATAATAAGAAAGTAAGTAAAAGATCGGTCAAGAATTTGGTCCAGAAGTGTCTTTTCCTGGAATTTTTTTAGTAAGAAAAAGCTGAATTTGCATGATTAAACATTGAAAAGACTTTGTCGTAAGTTATGAACTGGGGAAGTTTCCTGCGGATATTTATCAGATACATGCATTACCCTATTGACCCAGGGCGAGAACCTGTATGACCTCACTGGCTTAAATAATGAATGTGAGTTAGACAAATATAAAGCGTTCCTTAAAAGTTTCAGACGAGGCTGCAGGGCTCTGTGTGAGTAAACGTGTGAAACTCCCTGGCTGCACTGAAGGGATTTCAGTTGACTCTAAACTCCATCAGGAGACATTAAATCAAGTGTACAGTGAGAGATGGATGGAGAACGAGAGAGGGAGGCTAATGGCCGACTGCGTGTGTGTGTGTGTTCACACAGCTGTGGTAGTTCACCTCGGCAATTATTTATCTGTCTTATCTCTGTCGCCATGACAGCAATATAAACCACGTTTTATCGGCTAAACCGAATAAAAGTCTACTCTGTGTGTGCGTAAGTGTTCCAGTAATTCAACCCTTCTGCATCCCTTTAAAAAGTCAAAAACACTGTCATAAATTTGTTTTAATTATAGATTGACAACTTCATTATCAACCTTCCTGATCTTATCTGCTAAAGCCTTTAAATAATTATTTTTATAATGTCGCTATAGCTTTTTATGGGACATTTAAAAAAAACAAAAAATGATGAATAGAATTGTATACTATCTTTTAATTAATGACTCTGGACACCTCAATGATGAGCAACAACACAGATTACGTTAACTTTTTTCCGGAGTATCAGATTTAAAAAAGGAACAAAAAA